TTGCTAATCTCTTCTGCAGTGAACCTAATTTACAGATATGACAAAGATGTGCTTTGTTCTACTGAAACATTTCAGATGTGCTGGTAGCTACTTTCCTGAGAGGAGGAAATAAACAGATACAGAGTATATACAATTACAGAAGGCTTTTAGTACCAGTAACCAGTTAGTTTGGATTTAGAATTCCCTGGGAAAGTGCTTTTAATGAAATTTGAAATAAAGCCCACAAAGCCTTTTTGATGCTCAGGAATAATCCTTGTTCTGATCCATAATCCTGTATTTTCTGGGTCATTTTCCAGTTCCCAAACTAGTTCTGATTTAATCTCTATGATATGTGCTGGTGTGGTTTTTTTCTACAGATTTAATTTTTTAGAGCAGTTTTAGATTCATAGTCAAATTAAGAGGAAGGTGTGAATCAGGCATGGTGGTTTATACCTATAATCCCAGCACTCTACAAGGCTGAGGCAGGAGGATCATTGTTTGAGCCTAGCTTGGGCAGTTTAGTGATTTAGTGAGACTTTGTCTCAAAATTAAAAATGAAAAAAGAGCTGGAAATGCAGCTCAGTGTGAAGGGCCTGGGTTCATTCCCTAGTACTGGGGAGGACAAAGGAAGATACAGAGATTTCCCATATACCTGATATCCCTACACATAACACAGTTTCACCCTTTATCAACATCCCCCACCAGGTAGTTCATGTGTTAAAATTTATCAACCTGTACTGGCACATCGTAATCACTCAAAATCCAGTTTACATTAAGGTTCCCTCTTAGTATTGTACATTTTATGGGTGTGGACAAATGTATGTCACAAATCCACTAGTATCAGACAGATCGTACCTCAAAAATCCTCTGCTAGCTGTGTGTACACCTGTAATCCCAGCTACTTTTGAGGCAAAGGCATAATGAGCTAAGCTAGATGTAGTGGCACACACCTGTAATCCAAGCACTTGGGAGGCTGAGGCAGGAGGATTGCCACAAATTGGAGGCCATTCTGGGCTACATAGTTTAAGGCCAGACTGAATTATGTAATGACTCAGTCTCAAAAGAACAAAACAAAAATAAAGGAGCAGTTGAAGTTCTCAAGGCCAGCCTGGGCAACTTAGTGAAGCCTTGTCTCAAAATAAAAAACAAGAAAGGCTGGGGATGTAGCTCAGTGTGGGGCTCTGGGTTCAATACATTTCCAAATCCCCCTAAAATCCTCTGTGCTCTGCCCATGGCAACCACTGATCTTTTTACTGTTTCAGTAGTTATACCTTTTCTAGAATTTCAGATAGGGGAATCATACAGTCTGGAACCTTTTCAGATGGCTTCTTTCACTTAGTAATAAGGTTTTGTTTTTTTGGTACTGGGGATCGAACTCAGGATCTTGTGCTTGCCAGGCAGGCGCGGTGCCACTGATCTAAATCCCCAGCCCACTTAGTAATAAGTTCTCTTATGTCTTTTCATGGCTTGATAGGTCATTTCTTTTTAGTATTGTTTCTCACCCTCACCAGCATTGGTGTTGTCAATTTTCTTGTTGTTTTAATTTGTTTCCTTTTATTGAGATACGATGTGAAACATCTTTATTTACTTTTTGTTTTGTTTTTTGAGACAGTCTGGGTTTTAACTCATGATCCTTCTGCCTTAGTTTCCCTAGTGCTGGGATTATAGGCATGGGCTACTGCAACTAGCTGTAGAGCATCTTTTCATGTACCTGTTTGTCATCTGTGTATTGTATTTGGTGAGGTGTCTGTTAAGGTCTTTGGTCCATTTTTACATTGGTTGTTTATTGTTTTGTTTTTTACATTTTAAGAGTTTTTTGTATGTTTTAGATAATACTGTAATGTCTTTCACAGATTCTTTCTTCCAGGCTTGTATTCCTCATTTTCTTGGTGTTCTTTGATGGATCATGCCTTTGTTGTTGTAGTATCTACAGAGTCAAAAGATAGGTTTTCTGTTATCTTCTAGCAGTCTTATAGTTTTGCATTCTGTATTATATACATGGTGTTCCTTTGTTTCTTCCTGACTCCATCAGCTTCTACCTTTTGGGTATAATTGTTCTCAAACACTAGTGCCTAATCCTGTCATTTTATGGAAGAACACTTATAGCTCTTCTAGGCTTAATTTCTTTCTTTTGAAACAGACTTGTTTTTATTTCCCTTTATGCCTTGGTATGATTTGCCACCCTTCTCTTTCTGCTTGTTAAGAGTGTTTACTGATAACTTAGAAATATGTCTGGGTAGGGTCCACTGGTCAATACTGAACCAGTCTTGGGCTGGGGATGTAGCTCAGTGACAGCACCTGCCTGGCAAGCATGAGGTCCAGAGTTCAATCCCCAGTACAAAAAAAAAAAAAAAAGTGAACCAATCTTTATGATATGTGAAGAAATGGGATTTAAAAACTCTCTTATTTTATTTTATTTTATTTTACTTTACTTCTTGGTGATACTGGGGATTGAACCCAGGGCCTTTGCACTGAGCTGCATCCTCAGAACAGAGGTTCTTTTATTTCTTCCTAACACTTTTTTAGATAGAGTTTCAGTTGCTAAATTGGCCAGCTGGGCTTAAATTTGTGATTCTCTTACTTCAGCCCCCTAGAATGCAGGGATTATAGGCATGACTACCATGCTCAGTAGTCTTTCTACTTTTTTAGAGGTAAAAGCAGAAGAATCTTTTGGCCTTTTTGTAAGAAAAAATTTTGGCTGCCCTCAAACAGATGCAGAACAGTAATTAGCAGGCAACAGACAAAAAGATGGATACTATGGTGAAGGAACAAAATGCTTTAAAAAACTTTAATGCTTATTTATTTTAAGCAACATTTGAATCAGCTAATTTTTAACATTACAATTTGGACAGTTTTCTGCCAGAGTTTACACAAATTGCTACTTTGTGTACCTTTATAAATTATTTGAATCCACAATTTTTTTAAAAAAGATAAATTCCTCTCTTTTTCTAAAATATATATCTTGATAGCATCTAAAATTCTTGTGCCTTTTTTATTTCATAATTTAGCCCTTGGCTGTCCTTGTTATGGGGCCAACCTGCTTTGTACCAAGCTGTTGGTTAGCTGTTTACTTGTGATATTTCAAAAAATGGAAGACAGGGGCCCTTTCTGACAGTGCTACCCAAACCCTGACCCCTCTTGGTAACAGAATCAGAAATCTGCCTTTCTTTAATAACTTTCTCTCTGTAATTGTATTGCTTTGTGGATACATAGTAACCCTCTTCTTTTCAGCTCTGCAGTATCTTCAGTAATGAGGTAGAAGAAGATCCATAAGAAACTGAAGCATAAGAAACAATAGTATAAGAAATTGAAGGACGTGGTGTGTGGGTTTGTGAGCTGGGTGCTGTCACTCAGTTGTGTGATAATGTATTCCTCTTAGCCTAGGTTTCTTCCTCATCTGTGAGGTAGGAATAAATGATACTTACATTATAGGTTGCTGAGAGGACTGAGTGATGCATTAGATATGATTACTTAAAACAGTCCTGGCATTAATGTTTAATAAATGCTAGTTTCGATCTCTGTATTACTGACATCTTGTGCCAGATGATTCTTTGTTGTAGGGTTAGTCCTGTGGATGGTACTTAATGCTTACTCTTCTTTTGATGTTTGTCAGAGGCTTGTTTATGGCCCTTTCCCTCTCAATAACTTTAACACATAGAACAGGGAACTAGTGTGGGGGGATTTGACTGGTTACTACTATATTTGTTTTCACTAAAATGCCAGGATTAGGTAAATAAGCACAATATTGCCATATGGTTCCATAGAATCCTGCGTGAGACATGAGGGACATCTTCATTTCTTATCTCTGGTAGTTACCCTCTGACTGGTAGACTACATTTTGGGCCTCCAGGGACTATTGTCAGTTCAGAGCTAGTATTTAGTAATCTTCAGAAGGATTATATTTACCTTTCTGCAGTAGACAGTCACTGTGGGGAATTGCTACATATTGTTCCTTTTTTTTTTTTTTTTTACATATTGTTCTTGACAAAAGCTGGAGAACAATAGTATACACATGTGGTCATGTGATGGGCCCCAGTAATCTTATATTTAACCATCCTTGCCCTAATATCCTCTGAATGTACTCCCACATTTGCTCCTGAGACTCCAGTTGATAAAATTGATTGATATTCTGCAGATTTTTTGGTATAAAGATAGTCTTTTCTCAGAGTAGGCATTGAACTCCTTTCTGGGCTCTTTGGGGTTATGAGACAATGAAGAGTAGTAGGAGTCGTTACTGAAGAGAACTGGTATCCCTCTGTCAGAAAACTTTGAAAGGATTTTATGGGGGAAAGTATTGGCATGGTGGTGCATGCCTGAAATCTCAGCACTCTGGGAGACTGAGGCAGGAGAATCTCAAATTCAAGCCCATTCTGGACAAATTAGTGACTTAGCGAGGCCCTTTCCAAAATAAAAAAATTTTTTTTTTAAATAGAAAGGGCTAGGGATGTAGCTCAGTGCACAACCCTGGGTCCAATTCCCCAGGACCAATAATAGTAATAATAATAATAATTACAACAGCAAATTGTCAAATGTAACAAAAACCATGTCCTACATTCTCAATGGAAAGATGTAGATAGTATAGCTCATAATCTTCCCCCTCCTGCCAGTGCTGCAGGTTGAGAAGTGTGGGCTAAGATGGATCCTGGGGCTCCCAGGTAAAGCTAATTTATCTTAGAAGAGTGGTGGGGGCTCCACCTGCTACTTAAACAGTAGAGGACTGTGACGGGAGGGTGAGGCTCTGGTCATCTAACTAGAGTTTCTTTAATTCGAGTTAATCCTCCCTCCACATGACCTGCCGAATATAAACTTCTAGAACTTCCATAGTAAGGAAGGTAGATGGCATACAGATGTTTGTGGGTTAATGATAGGAACATAACAAACTAAATCTCTAAGCTAAGCTGAGCAAAAGTAAATTCCTACCAGAATAAACATCAAATGGATCCTACTTAGAAGGAATGACAGATGGTAATAGTAGTTTAAAACTGTTTTGCTAACAATTCTTTTTTTTTTTTTCTGTTAAGGTTGCACGATGGAATTTGAACATTACCTTAAGAGGTTTCATATTTTGGATTAGTTAATTGTTCTCATCCTCCTGATTATTTCTTTGAACTCATTTTTTGGTGTCATTTTGAGGCATTAAATACAAAAAGATTATACCATGGACTACAAAGAAAGCTGTCCAAGTGTAAGCATTCCCAGCTCTGATGAACACAGAGAGAAAAAGAAGAGGTTTACTGTAAGTATATAATATAAAGCATATGGGGAAAATTGATTACAGAGGATATTCCTGTCTTGATTTGTTCTTCCTTAACTAGAATGTCCCTCTTCCCCCATATCCTGATTTTATTTTACTGTGTGTGTGTATGTGTGTGTGTATGTGTATGCATCCATATGCACATGCACACAAGCACATGGTACTGGGAATTGAACCCAGGGACTTTGCATGGAGCTATGCTCTCCCCATCCCTTTTTATATTTTTTTGAAACAGTGTCTCATTAAGTTGCTAAGTTGCCAAGGCTGGGCTTGAACTTGGAATCCTCTTGCCTCAACCTCCCATACTATTGAGATTATAGACATGAGCCGCTATGCCTGGCTTAAATTTTCCTTTTTTAGTATAGATTTTTGTCTATTTACATATTCTCTTAGAGAATCTTATGACACTGTCTCATGGATCCTCTTACTAGAAAATGTGTGCGTTTGTACATGCTTATCTGCGTACTGATAATTTTGTGTGTCCTGTCAGGTATTATGGGCTCCTGAAGTCACATGTCCCATATTAAGAACTGCTGTCTTGAACTTTCCACAGTATCTTTCTTAGGGCTTTTATTATTTTACATCACGTTTTAATATATAAAAATAGTTTTTAAAATATTCTGTTTTATCTCTTGTTTTCAAAGGCAATGTCCATTTCTGATTTTATTTTTTAACACCTTAGTAGCTACTGTAGGACTTTAGAAAACATATGTATGGGCTGGGCATTTAGCTCAGTGGTTCCGCCACCTCCCTCGCAAGCGCAGGGACCCAAGTTCAATCCCCGGTACCAAAAAAAAAAAAGAGAGAGAGAAAAAGGAAAACATATTTACAGTGAATTTTTGCTGAATTTGTATGATCAGTAACTATTATTGGAGAGTAGTCATTTTTCTGATTATGATGAAATATACAATATTGTTTTAATTCTAGTAGTCCAGTTAGTATATGCAGAGATCTCCTGCCCTTGTTCTCTTGAAAAAACAATACTATTTGTCTTATTTGTAGCTGATCTAGTCTTCCCTTTATGTGCCCTCTTGTCCCCACTGAGTAGTGTGAAGTTCATTTAATGTAATGCTTTCTGCACTTAGTTTGATCTCAATAAAAATGTCTAGGTTGTCACAATTCTGCTTTTTACCCCCTTTGCTTCCCCATGTTGTTATTTTGGTTTATGGGAGGAGAAGGGTCCTTTTCACAGTGTCTGTTGAGAAGACTGACCTCATAGTAGCCTAGTGAAGGCTCTTGTTTTGTTTTTTGTTTTTTGTTTTTTTAGGGCTCTTGTGTTTTTGTCATCCTTCTAGTTCACTGGCGCCAAACCTATGCACAGCTGTTTATTATCATTGAAAGCTTGAAAAGATTCACTGCCACTGTTCTAGATCTTTGCTATTCTAGTTGTAGAGTGGCTGGTCTGGTAACTATCCCAGCTATGGTTGACATGATCCACCCATGGGCATTTTACCAGCATCCATTGCTGGCATCTATAGTTCCTGGGCTAACTGGATCTCTTCTTCATTGATTTAGCCAGGTTCTTAGAGCTGCTCCCTGCCCATTCAGTGCCTTGGCTCTTGAAGCTAAAGAGCCACCTGAGGTTCTGATTCATCTTTTCCTGCTCTTAGCTCAGTGGCCCACATCTGCCCTCTATTGAAAGACTCACCTGTTGACCCTCATAACAAATGACTTTCAACTCAGAGTCCATGGCGCATGGGAGTTGAGGAAAGCTGAAGAGTTAAACTAAACTCTTTGTGTAGGCATTACATTCTGTTTTCTTAACTAGTTGGGGCTGAGTGCCCCCAAATAGTGTCTTTCTCCCAAGGTCCCAGCTATGGAGCAGGAAAACAGTCCATCACCCCTGTGCTTTTCCCTCCTAAACCAACACATCTCCCATGTCCTGCACTGAAGCACAGAGCAGAGAGATTGGAGTATGTGTATCTGCCATTTACCTGCCCTTAGCCTCTGCATTGCAGGGTTATCTTTAAAAATACGCATTTGCTACACATTAGTATAAGCACATTTTTAGCAATATCACATTGAAGATAAACAGGATAAAACAGCAAGGTGTGTGCAAGTTTTTCTTGTTTCCCTCAGTATTTATTGTTTTTGTTGTGAGACCAGCTTTCTCTGTGTAGCCCTGGCTAACTTGAAACTTGTGATCCTCCTGGCTCAGTTTCCCAAGAACTAGGGTTACAGACATTTACCACCATGCCAAGCTTCCTCTCCTTTTTTTCCCCCCTTAGGCCATTTTCTCCTTCAGGGACTTATATTGCAAATGTGGGCAATTGGTTATCTCAGGTGTCTTTGATTTTCGGAATAGAGGTACTTCCATATCTTCTTGGAAAGGGTCAAGAAGGCCTTTCAAAGAACTCTTACTCAGCTGTTCCCATGCTATGCCCTGAGTTCTCAGAGGCCCTGTCTAAATCACCTTGCTCATTTACTTTCTTCAAATTCTGCCTAATTTAAGAAGCTTTTCTGGCTACTTAAAATATAAAATAGCACCTTTACACCCTGTCCTACCCCGTTTACTCTCTGTCCTACTTAGCATACTTAAATTAATAGCTGTTATCACCACCTGACATACTTTGTGTGTTGTTATATCTGCCTTGCCTGCTGGAATGGAAGATCCTTTGAAGCAAGAACTTTATTGTTCCTTGAGTATTTATTGAGCTGCTGTTGAATGAAAGTAGCACTAAGTTCATGTGCTAGTTGCTAGGTCACTATGGTGCAGTCCTCAGTTCTCAAGAAACTTAGTTCTAATCAGCTCATTTAGACCCCTACCTGTCTTTGTCACTTTCTTTGTCACTGGGACAGAATACCCAACACCCAAAACTCCAAGTAGGAGAAGTGTATTTTGGCTTACATTTTAGAAATTTCAGTCCTTGCATGATCAGCCAGTTCCAGACAGAACTGGCATGCAGAAAGGGCCTGAGTAGAGAAAAGCTGTTCACCTCATGTTGGACAGGAAGTAGAGAGGAAAGACAGAACCAGAAAGTGAGATATACCCTGCCAGTTCATGCCCCCAGGGATCCACCTCTTCCACCCAGACCCCACCTTTTAATAGCATGTCAGCTGTATCACCCCCATAATCCATTCACCTTTCAAAAGGCCACTTTTGAATGCATGAGGCTTGAGGAGGTGGGCATCCAGATATAAATTAGAGCACAACTGTACCGAATGAACATGGACTCAGCTTCAGCAAGCCCAGATGCTTATATTATACTTAGCAACAAAAATAGACATTGTGTAGTCAATAATATTTTATATGCTTGCTTTTGTTATATGTCTTTATATATTCTTTAGTGTGCAGCTTCTAACAGTCATATGTTGCAGTCTAGGGTGGGTTTTTTTTTTTCTGTTTTATATTTTCTTTTTTGGTAGTACTCGTGATTGAACCCAGGGAGTGCAAGGGTGTATCCCCAGCTCTTTTTATTTTTTATTTTGAGACAGTATCTTGCTGAGTTACTCAGACTGGCCTTGAACTTTTGAACTCCCTATGTCAGCTTCCTAATCTAAGATGTCTTGATCTGTTATACCAATTCTACATTATATTTTTGTCAGTAAATTTTTGTATTATGCACTGGGGATTCAGTGGGAAGCCAGAGTGACACAACCCTAGTTTCTAAGGAATTTACATTCTGTTGGGGTAAGATAGACACTGAAGAAAGACTCAAATAAAAATAATAGGATAATTTCATATTATAATAAATATACTGCTTTCTGTGAAATCCTGCTTTTTTGATGACCAAAATATTTTTTAGAATTTGAAGTTTTTGTTTTTGCCTGTTTGTATTTTATTAGAACTTATTTAATAAGCACTTGCTTATAATCATACTGCAAAGTAACTTTACAAAACCTTATTTCCTGTAAATATATTTGCTATAGAGCCCCTACAGTCTGGAATCCAGGCTCACAGTCATAGTAACCTGTTTCTTGTCCTTTTATCTGCCTCCAGGCCAGTCTAGTCCTTAATACCTTGTCAGATAAATCTACAGTCTAGTCATGGTTAACTTTATTAGCGTCTTTTCTTCTTCAGGCTCTTCATCTGGGGAGTGTTAAGTAATTCTAACATGTTATACCCAATAGCTCCTTTTTTTATTATTCATCACAGCTAACATTTTATTTAAATAGAATTAATTTTTATTGATATATGTTGCAGTATATAATGTTTACATTCCATGTAGAGTTGGTACATGCACATCTTAATTACTTTTTTCATCTGTTTTCCCTCCCCTACCTCCGCCCTTCCAATTTGAGAAAGATCTCTCTCCCTACTTCTATTATCCATCTTTTATTTTGCTTTTTATTTATAATTTGGGTTTCTCATATAAGAGAAACCATGAAATATTTAAATGTGTGTGTCTGATTGATTTTACTTAACGTTATGGTCTCAAGGTACCTTCTTGGTTGACCAGAAGAACCTGATTGTTACACTGTAGCTCATGTGGTGCCCAAGTGCTTTTTCTAACCATCTGGGTGTTAACGTCCTTTGCCCAGGTGACTGATACCAATGACTTTTTCTCACCTTTCAGTGAGACTTTATCCCCTCTCTCTCAGAGCTCTCACATTTGTAGACCCTTCACTGAAACTATGGCCCTGCGCAAGCACAAGGACCCGAGTTCAATCCCTGGTACAAAAAAAAACAAAACAGCACTACAGAATTCATACAATATCAGAACAGTGCTTTCCTCCCAGCATTGTCTCATATTAACTTGTGAGTGTAGGTTTCCTATCTTCATTGGGCAAGGTGAATTTATTCGCATTTGTGTGCCTATCTTCTGTGATAAACCTGGTTTTCTCTTTTAAGGTGTCCAACAGACTCTAGGGAATCGTACTGTAAGCCCCAGAACCAACTCATACTTCTCATCTAGTCATTACTGTAAAATAATAAGATTAATAACCCAAGCCCTACATCAGCCATCCTTTCCTCATGTAACTGGATTCTTGTTGTTTTCTCTTTAGCAATGATACAAGGTCTGTGGTATTTTCTGATAACTCATTACAATATTTTGAATTGTATTCTGAGAGTACCTGTGGGATGAATTATGACAGTTATTTCTAAAACTTGATGATTTAATACTGGTTCTGATGGAAGATTTAGATTTTGGTCTCAGTTTTATGTTTTTTATTAAGTGTATGAACTTGGGCGAGTTACTTTTTTGTTCTCATTTAGTAAGGGGTTATAGTATTTGTTTTTATGTCATTGAGTTGCTTATTATGATTCTATTTGAGAGTATATATATATGAAAATAACAAACTCTGAGATGGAATTAGAAAATCTGTGGGTGAATTCTTAGTTTGAAAAATACTGTATGAAAGATGACCTAGCACAGTGGTGGTGAACCTATGGCATGCATGTTGTTTTTTTGTTTTGTTCTGTTTTTACTGGGAATTGAACTCGGGTCCTTGCGCTTGTGCAGCAGACGGTGAAACCACTGAGCTAAATCCCCGGCCCCTGTTTTTCTTTTAAGACAAAAGATATTAATGTATGAGTTGTTTTTTCTAAACTAAAACCTCAATATTCAGGTTTAATTGCAGTGTTGGTACTTTGTGATAAATAAGTGGGTTTTGGGTTGCAGTTTGGGCATTCATCTCCAAAAGGTTTGCCACCACTGACCTAGAAAGAAGAGAACTAATAGTTAACTGTTTTTACTGTGCCAGGCATCACTTTTGAAAATACTTTATAATTTCAAGATAATAGTGTTGGAGAAGAAAAGAGGAAAATGGCATGAATTGAAATTGTATTGTTTTATTCTTGGGAACAAAATCTAAAGCAAGAATGGCCAAATATTAGGATTCAGTAGATCTAAATAATGAGTACATGTGTGTTTATTATGTAATTCTCTGAAAATTACTGAAATATTTCACATCATTTTAAAAATACCTTTTGCCAAGATAAAGTGTTTCAGTTAATATGCTTATGTACTTGGAGAATCATATATAAACCTTAATATCAGTTTCATGAATGCAAAAAAGTTTGTACATATTTAAAAAGAGCCTTTTTTGGTCAAAATTTATTAAACTGTGTTACTTTTTATTTTTACAGGTTTATAAAGTTCTAGTCTCTGTGGGAAGGAGTGAGTGGTTTGTCTTTAGGAGATATGCAGAGTTTGACAAACTTTACAACACTGTAAGTAATAGTGTATAGAATTTCTGTTGAAAACAAAACACCTGAGAAAATCCCGAAAGATTTATTTGAATGACTAATTCATACTCACATATATAAGGAATGCAGAAAAGGGATTCTTCAAAAGCATCGTAACTTTGGAATTCTGATGGAGAAAGGACTGTTGAGCAGTTCCAAATTGACCTTGAAAAAGAGAGTTACATGATCGTTTTAATAATACAGAGTATTAGAAATAAATCTTTTCATCATATTTCTGGCTAAACTGTCCAACTATAAGCTTTAGATCTGAAAGTCTATCATGAGCCCACTCTCCTCCTGTATTTCATTCTTAGTTAGAGATAAGTCTTAGGTTCCATATTGGAAGTAGCTAACACAACTGAAATGATTATTGACATTTTATCAGTGACCTGAGGGTGGGTGATGAAAGAGATCATTAGATGACTAAATAACTAAAGCCAGTACATACATCCATACACACAAATATACATATAGACATTATTCAGATAGTAAAGATACTCATAATCTATCTATAGTTGTATGTACGGTACTTTCTAAAGTAAACAGACCCCAAGCCCATTCTAACTCATCAGGCCAGATCTCACCAGGTGAAAGAGGCCAAAGAATGCCTCCTGAGTTAGTCATTAGAATCACAAGTTAGGAGAGCTCTGGATTCCAAGCTTTGTTTTGGTTAAAAAAAAAAAAAAAGTGCCAGGCATGGTGCATTGTAATCCCAGTATTCAGGAGATTGTTGTTATTGTTGTTGTTGTTTCGAGACAGGGTCTCACTAATGTAGTTCAGGCTGACCTTGAACTCATGATGTAGCCCAGGCTATCCTCTATTGATGATTCTCCTGCCTCAGGCTCCCTAGTGCTGGGATTAGAGGTATGTAGCACCACATCTGGTGCATCTGTATGTTTTGTGTTAGACTTCTGATTCATCTTATTTAGGATTTCACCATATTTGTTCCAAGTGAAATTTAAATCACTTGCTAATGGAAATTAAATTTTAAAAAATAATATTGCATTTTAAAATAATATTTATTTGTCCCTATGTAAAATTAGTACATGTTCTAGAAAATCTGAATAACAAAATAAAAGTAGATTAAATGTAAAAAATCACCCCACTTTCTGTCTCTTTAATTCTTTGGTTTTTTTCTCAAGCCTACATCATACACCAAATAAAAAACTAAAACCTACTACAAAAATTTCCAGGAATGTTTCAAGAATCCCTAGTACTTATCATCCATTTTCTTAATTTCTCTGGATTTTCATTTTTTCCATATTTCATTATTTTCCATGTCTGACTCATTTACATATAACTTTAAAAGTAACATTGCAATTTTCAAAATATTTATAATTATTAAATACAGTACAAATTTTCCCTCATGGTGAAGGACATGAAAAAATTAAAGAATGGTATTTGTGGTCTTTGAAACTACAGAATTCAGGTTAAACTTGCCCTGGATTTTTCTAAGTTCAAAACATGAATTCTTTCCCTGTGTGATTCCTTTAGAATAAAAGAAAAGAAAAAAAAAATTCTAGTATATAAGTATTTTAATTGCCAGCTTATATGTGTGTTTTATGGCCATAGTTTGTATTTTTAAATTTTTATTAATAGAAATTGTCAAACGCATACAGAAGTAGACAGACTAGTATAAATACAGAAAATAACATAATGCTACCAGCTATCTTCAATTACTCATACAAGACCATTTGTTTCATCTCTATCCCTAGCTAGCCCAACGTAATTTTGATACAAATCTTAGACATCATATCATTTCATCTGTAAATATTTTATTCTATACCTCTAAAGGATAAAGATTCTTTTTTTTTTTTGGTACTGGGGATCGAACTCAGGTCCTTGTGCTTGTGCAGCAGGTGGTGAAACCACTGAGCTAAATCCCCGGCCCAAGATAAAGATTCTTAAAAGCAAAACATTCACATACTATCATGAACACATACGAAAGTAAATTAATAAAAATGCCTTAATATCGGATATCTGGTTACTATTTGATTGGTTGACAAGTGTTTTAAGCATCTTTTAATTACTAGTTTCCTTCCCCACTTCTCTTTCCTTTACAGGGCTGTGTGTCGGGGTGTGTGTGTGTGTGTGTGTGTGTGTGTGTGTGTGTGTGTGTGTGTTTAAAAAAGGGTCCTTTGTTTACAGATTTTTAGCCTGGGTTTTGCTAATAGCATTTCCGTGATGTACAGTGATTAATACATTTTTCTATTTTTTATATGTCCTGTCAGTTGCTAGTTAGATCACTTTTTATATGTGTACATATAAAACTATAGTGTACATGTAAAAACCATAGGCATGTAATGTATATGGATTTTAGCATGGACTACATTTATAATAAAAATATAGCCCATGATTATGACTTTACTGCCCCAAATTTATTTTATTCAGAGTCAAGTTTACCTCTCTGAGGACAACCAAATCTGATAAACAAGTATTTTAGAATATTAATAAAAGGAAGGCTAAAAGAGGATATTGAAGACAAAACTTATTAGCTTTCTCAGAAAACTATTGTCAAAAACTATTGTCAATTTATTCATGATGAGAGAACATAAAGAGCATATCTTTTCTTGAGGTAATATATAGTGGGTAATACATTCAGAACCTAAACGTGCAATTCCAGTTTAATCATTTAACATAGTCTCCTTTAACCCACACAACAAATCTAAGATTCTTGCTCAAATTGTCTTCATTTTACAGGTAAGAAAACTGAGGCTTAGAGATATTAAGTAACTTATCCAAGGTCACACAGATACCAAGTGTTTTATTGGGACCAAATGGGATGATTAGTCGGTCTCTGCTATTTTATTGGTATAATTAAATATTGTACATTATATGATCATGTATTTAAAAATATGTCTTATGAATTTTCTTTATTATCAGATTTTATTTGGTTTTAGTGAATGCATAACTTGAAGACTTATAAACTTAGTTCATGTAATGCTATTTCTAAAAATTTTAGTTAAAGAAACAATTTCCTGCTATGGCTTTGAAGATTCCTGCCAAGAGAATATTTGGTGATAATTTTGATCCAGGTAAGCAATATTTGCACAAACCGACTGTTAAGTGATGGTTGAAGTTTGAAGAGATAGTTAACATATTCATTGCACTGTATATAAGACTTACGGAAAATGGAGCACAGTTACATTCATTAGTTTGCCCAGGGTCAAATACAGGTAGTAAATGGCAGATTTGCAAGTTAAATTCAAGTGGTCTGTCTTCAGATAAATTTATTAATCATTAAAGATCATATGATATCTTTCCCTAACATTAAATTGGTACCATGAAGGACATTCATTCTTTAATTCAGTAATTGTTATTAAATATATACTTTGTACATAGCAACCTGCAGGTGTCTGTATGAGATACCCAAAAGTTTTCCTGTTGTTCACCCTTGAGGAGCCTAGGGACAGAAAGTCTCAGGAATTTAGAGCCCTGTGTGTTTGAAGCTTCAACACTGGGAAGTTCCCCCAAGAATCCAGGTGCTACCTTATATATCTGCTTTCTTGGTCAGTTAAGCATTCTCAAGTCACTTACTTTGTGCTTCCTCCAACCTTATACCATTCCTTTACCTCCCAGACCTTTTCACTTTGTCCATGATTAACACACTTCTCTTTATCCTCTCTTTAATATTTTTTCATGTTCTTGCTTTAATTAAAGCCTACCCCACTCCCCACCTACTGCTGTTGATCATCATCTTAACTGGAGGTTCTTTATTCATTATACTTGATGGACCTCAGGGTCATGAATATTTTTATTTTTTCTTACAGATTTTTTTTCTCTTGAGAGAATTATAGCATACTTCATTGTTTTTACTAATCTGTCTTATTTAGCCTATAGATTGTATGAAGGTAGAGACTATCTTTTATTTATAGTATTTGGCAAATACTAGGTTTTAAAATACTGCAAAGTACATGGATCTAAACAAGGGAAAATTGCGTTGGCACAACAAAACCAAATTATAGTTTCTATGGAATTGATTTTATGGACTAGTGATTTTTGTACTCTTTATTTTTAGCTGCAAAACACTTTTTTCCCCAAGTGGCCTCTTATGCAAAAAATATAATATGTGAATCAAATAATGACAGAACTGCATTGTTGGTGCAGAAGTGAAATATCTCTTTGGAGCACAGGTTGAAAAGCATTAAATGGGCAGCATATGGGCCTTAGAGATACTTGAGTGAGCTAGTGACATGACATGAAGATAACAGTGTGAAATGTACATAGTAGACAGAGCAGAGAGGAGACCAAGTAGAGCCAGGAGACTGGTTAAGGGAATAATGCAATAGTCCTGGTATCAGATAATAAGCACAAGCACTAGTGTTGAAATGGGGTAAAAAGGGAGCCATGTGCAAGAACTTTGTTAGTGAAAACTCTGTAAGAAATCTTGGTAATTGCTTACATAAAGGAGATACATAGAGAAGAAATCAGAGACAATTAAAGTGTCCCTCAGTGGGTAATTTAGATAATTGATTAATTTCAAGTGGCAGAAAGACTTAAGAATAAAACTGTATGTTAGTGATAGTAGGAAACTTGAAATTGCACAGAAGTTCTGTAGAGCCTTTGAATCCTTGAGGCTGAAGCATTTCATCAGGAAAGAAGGAAAAGAAAGACCTGCAATATCACTGCTTCATTGTTAAAGGCAAGATACCAGACTGACTGTCCGATTGTACCTAGTTTTGATGAATTTAGTATTTGACATTACAATTTATTTTTATTGAAGAACCATTTGAAATCTGTCCTAAGCATATTACATATGACTTGTCAACAGTGAAACAGATTATATGTCACGGTGGTCATAAAAAACCCCTACATTGGAAAAATAAATCTAACTTACACTCAAAATTTCAAGGATGAATGAGATGCTTGTTTGGTTAACCTTTGGGGAAACAGGCATCTTCATATTTTGCTGATGGGAATGCAAAGTGCTATAGTCATTGATAGAAATTTAACAAACTTTTTGACCAAGAAATCACATTTTTAGGAATCTATCCCAAAGATAAACTGTATATGAAGGTAAATTGCATATGAAATGACATACATGCAAATCTGTCATTTTGTGACATTTTTTGTAACAAAAACTGGAAACAACTGAAATATTCTTCCAGGGTTAAATTGCATCATAGCTATTTAAAAAAAACACTCTTAATGTATTACTGTAGCTTGGTCTCCCATATATATTCAGTGGAAAAAAAGAAAGTCCATATGAGTTTGTATAATGTATATTTTTTGCATAAGAAACAGTGAGAGTTCAAAAGGAAATAATGAATGAATAAATAAAAATATTAAAACTAGTGATTTAAAGGAGGAGGGAGAAGGCCAAGGGAGGCAATAGGGGTGAAAGTTAGATGCCCCTGAAAGAAGCATGTTTATAGCTTTGACTTTGGAATCATGTACACATTTTAGATAATTTTAAAACAAAAATGCAATAACAAAGCTGTGTTTTAACAGTATTTTGTTTACTCATTCACAAGCACCCATTAAGTACCTTCCAAGATACAGTACTGGGTTAAGGGATAAAGATAATAAAATTTTTTTTCTTAAATCATGATGCTTGCTTTCAACAGTTTACATAAAGACAACTTTGATTTCTTAACTGTAAACCTCTGCATCTTTTAACATATGTTCACATAAGTTCTTCTTGAAGAGATTTTAAGAAGTACATAACTAACTATAACTTTAGTTGTTAAAGATAATATATCAGCCTTATATAAATTCTTGCCATTTCTCACAATGGGCTGGAACACATTTTGTCTGACCTGGAGTTTTTTTCAGATATTTGTTTTTTGGTTTTTTTTGGTACTGGGGATTGAACTTGGGTCCTTGTGCTTTCGAGGCAGGCGCCAGAAGCACTGAGCTAAATCCCTGGCTTTTTCAGATATTTGTATGCTTAATGTTGCCTATAAGTTACTATTACTAATTAGTATTGGACTTGTTCTTTCTTATTTATTTTTCTTTTCTTCTTATATAGGGCTTTACGTACGAATTTAAAAATGGTTTAAAATAGTAATGAAATGGAAAGTCTATTAGCACTTAGCACAGCTTTGGCTATATAGCTCACTGAAGAAAGAAAATTCCTCTGTTTTTATTCTGGTCTCCTAAGTAAAATGTTTATTTTTTTCTCAAAGTAAGATGTTTCTTTAATAAGTATCCACAGCTACTTCCATATACTGTAGTTATTAGATTTCCTTTTAATATTCCAAATGTGGCCATTCATTCTAGTTCTTTCTCATAAATTACTAAATCCATTTCCTGAAAAATGCCTTTCAAGTATAGTTTTTAAAAATTGGTATTTTTTGCAAATGCTAGGGATTGAAAAAAGGGTGTCACACATGGTGTGTAAATGCTCTACCATTGAGCTACATTCCCAGCCTCCAAGTACAATTTTTAAAGTAAACCTCACACTTTACAAGAAAAATGTTCTTGGAAGAGTTTTGTAAGATACCTACTTGAAATTCTTCGAGGAATTCATAGTTGAGCAGATGTGTGTATACCTGCATCCCAGTGACTAGACCTAATTTTTTATTTGTTCTATAACAGATATACCTTACATTTAAGAGATGATAACAAGCCACGTGACTGGAAATAATCCATCATTTTGGTAGCAAACCCTATATGTTAATGTTATTGAGTAGTGTATTAGTCAGCTTTCCTGTCATGCTTTATATCTGGATGGGGGGGACATCATTCAGAGTCTCATACACTCAGAGGTCGGGCTTGTAGAAGGCAACTGGATTATGGAGGTGCTACAGCTAGCCTGATGTTAGGAGGTGGGACCTGATTAGAGGTAGATCACTGGGGGCATGTCGTAAAAGGGTATATCTTTTCCCTGGCTTGTTTCTTTCTGATTTCTGGCTGCCGTGATGTGAGCGGCTTTTCCTCCACTATTGCCTTCTACCATGCCATCCTGCCTTGGAGCCAGTGGACTGTGGACTGAAATCTCTAAAAATTGAACCAAAAAAACCCTCATTTCCTTTAAGTTGTAGATCTCAGGTACTGTATTGTGTCTCAGTGATGAGAAAGTGACTAAGACACTTGCTGGGGCACAATACTTGACAAGTTAAAGGAGGAGAGGTTAATTTTTGCTTATAGTTTGAGTGGATTCATTCAGGCCATGGTCAGCTGGATCCAAGGTAAAAATAGCATGACAAAAAAAATTGTTCCCTACATGGTGGCCAGGGTGGGAAGCAGAGAGAGAAGGGAGGAGCTGGGGACAAAAATATACCCTGCCAGGTCACACCTCCAGTTATCTGCCTGTTCTCACTAGACCCCACCTCCTAACTCTGCATTCAACTCTGAACTCAGCAATGAATCATAGCACACCTATGATGATCCAATCACCTTCCAAAAGCCCCACCTCTGAATGTGAGACTTCGGGGAGCATTTTAGATCCAAACCATAGCATTCTAACCCTAGCCTTCAAAAGGCTTGCGTCCATCATATTATGCAAAATGCATGTGGTCTATCTTTAAGAATTGTCAGAGTATTCAGAGAGCGAGCATCACTGAAAAGTCCAAGTCCAAAGTCTCCTCTGAGACTAAGCAAACTCTTTGTTGTAGCCCTCTGTAAAAATAAAGTTTGGCACAAGGTAAACATTCCCATTTTTAAGTGTAAGAATAGTGGAATAGACAAATTAGACCCAAAGCAAGATGGAAACCCACCAGGGTAAACATTAAATGGTGTAGTTCCATGTCCAGCGCCCAGGGTAGGGTGTGGTAAGATAAGAACCCTAAAGGGCTTCAGCGGCCCTGCCCCTATGACCTTGCTGGTTGCAACCCATGTGGCTTCTCTCTTAGGATGGCTCTGCTCAGTGCCTGTGACTTTCTTCAGCAAATGTTCCAGATGCCTGGCATCTCCAACTTCTGGGGTCTTTACTGCACCTTTAGCTTCTGTCTAACAGCTTCACACACTACTCTGATGGGCTCCTGGTAGGGACTGTGATCCTCTCACACAAATTTTTCCTGGCCTCCAAGACCTTTTACTGACATCTGGGTGGAAGCCTCTGTGAGCCCATAATTCTTGCATTCTGTATGTCTTAAAAACCAGCACCAGGTGAATGATGCCAAAGTCTGCTATCTGCTTGAACAATAGCCAGGCCTCCTTGGACCATGATTACAGCAACTTCTGAGTGCCTGAATGGCTGAACACCATGAAATGAATCATAAGAAACCAATTCCCTAGCTGGCTGTATTTAGCAGGATGCCTGAGGCTCTCTCTTCTCAAATCAGAGGTTACACTTTGCACATTTGAGCCTGTAATGGATGAAGTTTCACTAATTCCTAAGATGACCTCAAGACATCTTTCTTCTTGTCCCTGTACAAGGTACTTGACTAATCTTTTCCTGTTCCTTCCTTTGCTCCAACTTTGCCTTTCCTTTCTGGCAAAACTGCTAACTTTTCAGACCATTAAGCTCTGCCATTTACTCCTGGTTCTCACTGTAGATATGGCTAAAAGGCAGCCAGCATTACCCATGCCATAGCCTAAATGTTGGGTTGCTTTGAACTTTCCTTTACCAGGTTGTTCTACCACCCTTAATCTCAATCTTCAAAAAAATCTCAGGACATGAGCAAAATGTTGACAAATTTTCTGCAGAGCTTCTATTATAACTGCCAATGGAATCCTTGTTTCCAGCTGAAACAGGAGGCTGGCCTTTATTGTCCACATTCCTGTAAGCATTTTAGCCTTTTGAGCTCTGACCAGTATTGCAAATCAAGCACCACTCACAACATCTCAGAGCTTCTCTAGTTGACCTTTCCAAATGTTTCCAAATTCCTCCTACAAAGCCAAAAATTTCTAAACCACTTGGTCAGGTACAGTCACAGCAGTGACCGCAACCTCAGGATCAATTTTCTGTATTAGTCAGCTTTCCTGTTGCTGGAACAAAATACTAGATACCACATAAGGGAAAAGTTTATTTTTGTTTACAGTTTCAGGGAAATCTATTGATGAATATAGTACCCCCATGATCTAATCATCTTCTAAAAGCTCTACCTCTGAACTGACACTTTTAGGGGGCATTTTAGATCTAAACCATCCCAAGTACAATTGAATTTCACTAAATCAAAATTCATTAAGTAGTATATTGTTTATAAGTTTTAATGAAGTTGTATCCATTAACAGTCACTTTCTCAAGTTACCCGTGTCTTCAATTTTTAGAATATATTTTTGAAGGATTAGGGTTTAGGATGATAGCCTTATGACCCCATAAATTTACATGGATTATCTCATGTAACCTTAATGAAATACAAATATTGGGGCCAGGGATTTAGCTCAGTGGCACTGCACCTGCCTCTCAGGCACAAGGTCCTGAGTTCGATCTCCAGTATTGCAAAAAACAAAACAAAACACAACAATGAAAATAAAGATACTTCTCTTAAAAAGAAAAGAAAAGAAATACAAATATTATTGTCATCCCCAGTTTACTTGTAAGGAATTATGTTTTGAAAAGTTTTAAGATCAGTTAGTAAATAACAGACAAGATATTTGAATAAAGTTTTCTAATTCCACGAAATGTTTATGCTTAACATTTATTGCTAAATAGTGTATGCCTCAGTTATCAGACAAAACACTTTGAAAAAGCTGTATCATTCTTTGTTAGGAAAGTTTACCAGTGCATTTTTCAAGGGTTTTTTAACAACGGATTAAGCCTGAGTTTTAATATTCAGTTAACCAATTACCATTTCTAACTTACAAAGGATTCTAGTAATTCTTATTTTCTTGTTTTTTTTAAGTATGATTTTTCAATCATAAGTGTTATTTTGTTAAACGTTATTACATTGATATGTAAGGGTGTAGACAAAGTACAGTGCCTGTCCAAGATTTGTATTGAGTCTATTTAGAATCTAAAATAGGCAGGATTTTGTTTGTTTTTGTTTTTTTCAGTGCTGAGGAACGAACACCAGGGCCTCGTACATGCTAGACAAGCGCTCTAGCCTATATTTCCAGCCATTTTTGTTTTTTAAGACAGGTTCTTGCTAAATTGCCCAACTTGTGGTCCTCTAACTTCCTAAGTAGCTGGTATTGTAGGTGTGCACCACTGTGCTCAGCTAAAGTGGGCAGTTTTTGAGAATTTTTTTTTGGGTGATATATGTGCTTTATTTAAATTTTTAGTCTGTCCGTCTATCTATATATTAAAGTATTTATTCCTCATTGTATACCACAGAACATGAATTGCAAAATAGCTTCTTAATTACAATATACTAACCTTTGTTTGTATATTCTTTTATGTTTTGTTTTGGGTTTTGGGTTTGTTTTTTTTTTTGTTTTTTGTATTTGTGTTTTTTGGTACTGGGAATCGAACTCAGGACCTTATGCTTGCAAGGCAGGAGCGGTGCCACTGAGCTAAATTCCCAGCCCTTGTATATTCTTATATAAATATTTTGAAGATAATTATATTGGCTGACAAATAATATTAATAGTTTAATCCTCTTTTTACAGATTTTATTAAACAAAGAAGAGCAGGACTAAATGAATTCATTCAGAATTTAGTTAGGTATCCAGAGCTTTGCAACCAGTAAGTAATTTTTGTTGTATTCTAAATCTAAGAATATTGGGAAACCAAATGTAAGAATATTGAAGAAGTCTAGTACAGATTTATTCTTTCTGTGAAATGTTTTCTTGTTTTTCTTTATTTTTTTACTAGTACATGTTTATAGTACATAATATTTATACACCTTGTGGGGAGTTGGTGCATGTACCTAATACATCTTAATCCTTTTTTTGGTTCCCTTTCCCTTCCCTTCCTCCCCCCTCCTCCCAGGTGTTGGGGCAGGGGATTACATGTTTGCAGTACATGTTTACATTCCTTATGTGGAATTGGTACATATACATACACATTTTAATTTTTTTACATCCTCTATTACTCCCCCCATCTCTTGATATCCCCTTCCCCTTTGAGAAAGGTCTTTCTCCCTGCTTCCTATTATCTTTCTTTTATTTTGCTTCTTATTTATACTTTGGGTTTTTCATATGAGAGAAATCATGTGTTATTTAAGCTTGTGTGCCTGATTGATATGAAATGCTATTGTGCTATATATGTTTGTACTTCTGGAGCATTTCCTCCTGATTTTCTTTATACTGTTTTGCCTTTTATCAGTTTGTCTTACTTTCTTTCTCCCTTTCATAATTGTTTTATAGATTACATTTGAAAGAAATTTGTGTAATGTAGTTAAAGCATCGTGCTGATTATTTGATATTTTCCTGTGGCTTCAGAAAACATTAAGTGCCTGCTATTAGCACCTTATTCTAATTTTATTGCAGAGTAACTTATAGAAAAGCACCCATATCATGACCACCCTGCTCAGTGAGTTATAAGAAAGTAAACACACTCAAGTTATCACCCACTCCCCTGGGGCCAAGAACTAGACAATTCTATATTCCTGAAGCCTCTCACACGTCTTTTCTCAACTTCTATTCTGTCTTTTCCAAAGGTAACTCTTCTGAGTCTAGCAAAGAAATGTGCCTTGGTTTTCAACTACATATGAATGGAGTTGTGACTGTTGTGATTGTCATCTTGACAAGATTGGGAAACACCTAGCAGATTACTAAAACACATTTCTGGTTGTGTCTGAGTTGGTCATGGGGGTGTGACCTTGGGGACTGTATGTGGTTCCTAGCCCTTTCCTTTCTGCTACCTGGCTGCCATGAACTGAGCAGCTTTACTCCATTATGCTCTTCTGCTGTAATGTTTCTACCATGGAGTCAACTGATCAGGGACTGAAACCTTTGAAATCATGAGCCAAAATAATCCTCTCCTTCTTTTAAAATGTGGATTCTGGATATTTTGTCCCAGCAATGAATTCAACACAATTTATTCAATTCTACTCCTGATAGACATTTGAATTAATTTTAATTTTTATGCTCTTCATTTGAACATCAAACAATTGATGCACATTGCTAGAATTGCTTATATGATTTTCAGGAGAGACTTTTAAAATTAAAATTACTTGGTTTGAATTATTTTAAGCCTTCAAATACAGTCTGTTAAAACTGATTTCTAGGGAGGCTATGCCAGTTTATATTCTGCTAGCACTGTATGAACATCCTGAAGACTCTTCCAGCCTTGGTTGGCATAACAGTAGAACTACATTTAGCATTTGCAGGAGAGACTTTTAAAGTGTATCTGGCAATTTTGAATACTACTGTAACTAATATAATCTTTTGATGAACAGCTGCAAACACTTCTGAAGTTTCTGGGCTGTAGGATATGTATGTTTAACCTTTGTGGATAGTACCAAATTGTTTTCCAAAATGATTGCCAGAATTCATACTTCCATTATAAATGTATGAAACCACATTGTTTCACGAACCACTTAGTGTTGTTAGTCTTACAATTTTAGCTATTCAGATGATTGAGTAGTGGTTTCTTATTGTTTTGTTTTGGGTGTTGGTTTTGTTTTGTTTTGGGGTTTTTTTGGTGTTTTTTTTTTTTGAGACATGGTCTTATTATGTAGTCCAGCCTTCAGAGTGCTGGGATTACAGGTGTGCACCACACCTGGATTCTTATTATTGCTTTAATTTGTATTTCACTAATTACTGATAGAATTGATCAGAGATATAAATATAAAGTTATTTATATCATTATTAGCATTTAATGATAAGGCTACAAGAGTCTTCATGATGTTCACATACTGTTAAGAGAATGTAAATAGCTTCCCTAGAAATCAGTTTTAACAGAATGCATTTGAAATCTTAAAATGGGTTTATAATTCAGACCAGTGCTCGCTTTGGCAGCACATATACTAAAATATAATACAGACCAAATAATTTTAAAAATCTGTCCTGAAAATCATAAATGCCGTTCTACTGTTATGTGAAAACAAGAAGAGTTCTAGTATTATTTGTAGTAGTGAAAGTTATGTATTTAGAAGTTTATAAGTGACAATTCAGTGGGTTTTTTAGTATATTCACAGTGCTGTACACTCATCATTACTCTCACTCAAGTCTAATCTACCATTTCTTTCTTTTCTTTTCTTTTTCTTTTTTTTTTTTTTTTTGGTACCAGGGATTGAACCTCGGGTCCTTGCACTTGCAAGGCAGGCAACCACTGAGCTAAATCCCTGGCCTGAATCTAGCATTTCTAACACCCCCCCCCCCAAAAAAATGGTACCCCCAAATTCTCTCTTCCTCCAGTGCCTGGCAACCACTAGTCTATTATCAATCACTAAAGCTTGCTTGTTCTGGGCATTTTGTTTAAAATGAAGTCATATAATATGTGACTTTTTTTCTTCCTTTGTTCATTTAGTGTAATGTTTTGTTTTGGTTTTGTTGGTACCAGGGATTGAACTCAGAACCTTGCACTTCCGAGGCAGGCTCAGTGCCACTGAACTGAATCCTTGGCCCTAGTATAATGTCTTTGAGGTTCATCCATGTTGTTAACATGTATCAGTATTTTACTCCTTTTTATGAATGAATTCTACTGTGTTTTAATATACCACATTTTGTTTATCCATTCATCAGCCAGTGAACATTCAGGATGTTTCTACTTTTTAGCTATTATGAATTATGCTGTTATGATTATTTCATAGATGAATTTTTATGTGAACATGTTTATATTTTTTCTGGTTATGGAACTACTAGAGTGGAACCACTAGATTATACAGTACTAGGAGTGGAACTACTAGATTATACAGTAACTCCATGTTTAGCTTTTTGAGGACTGCCAAACTTTTCTAGTGGCTGCACCACTTTACTTGCACAGCAGCCCTCTCCTTTGTAAAAACAATTTTTCATCTTTCAATTTTTCTACTATTTCTGTTATTTGTATTGAATTATTTAGAATAATTCAGGGTAGAAGTAACCAGATATATTTAACATCCCTCAGGACTGTCATTAGTCCACGCACGATCCTTTTTAAGTCCATTTTATTCTCTTCATCTTATATTGTTGTACTTATTTCTTTATCTCCACAGCGATTATCTACTTTAATATGTTTGGGTACTTGCTATCTCTTTATCTTTGAAAAGTTTAGACTGACTGTTTGTCTGTATTTAATATATACATAAATGATACTGTGCTATTATTGTTCCTTGTTTTCTGGCTACCGACTGATACTCCCTATAGGCAGTTATCCATATTTGACTTACTAATTTTCCTTGTTGTAAGTATCTATTTTGTTTACAATTCACTGGTACAATGACTGTCCTGATTACATACATGCCTTTCAGTAGAACTGTGCATAATTTTTTTGGGGGGGGGTTGTCTATAGAATTGGAATTTTGAGGTCCAGGAAAAATGTATACAGTTTCTCCAAGAATTTTCCATTTGGTTCCTTGTTTTTTAAAAAATTAATTTGCTTATTCCTTTTAAAATAATAGTAATGCATTTTGTTTTGCTTTCTTGCTATAAATGCTAATATTGTGGCTTTTGTTTTGATTTTATTTTAAAAGGGAGAAAAGCTGTAGATATGATTTTATACCATAATAAACTTAATTTTTGTTTTCAGTCCAGATGTCAGAGCATTCCTGCAAATGGACAGCCCAAAACATCAGTCAGATCCATGGGAAGATGAGGATGAAAGAAGTACTCAGAAGGTAGTAAGAGAAATTACATTTTTTAACAGAAAAAATATCATTCCCCAAAGATGAAATAAATTAGGACAATATTTGTTCACAATGAAGTGGTTTCATTTGTAGTAGGTTTTCTAAAAACCACTTATTGATCAGTATTTCTTATAAAATGCATAGAATTACTACTTTTATGATAAGAAATGTAATGTAAGTTAAAAAAAAATTTAAAAGTAACAGGTAAGGGGCCAGGGATTTAGCTCAGTGGTTTCGCTGCCTGCTGCGCAAGCACAATAACCTGAGTTTGATCCCCGGTACCAAAAAAAAAAAGTAACAGGTAAGAAGGTAAGTATTACCCATATTGCTACCTCCTGGAACTAGTAATTTTTAACATTTGAGTGATTTTTCTTTCCAATATTCTCTTAATGGTATAGGGTTTTAAAGATATCTAAATTATATAATGTATATAATTTTATACTGTTTTCTTTAAATCTTAGACATTTATTTTGAACATTGTATTTCTTTATCATCATCACCATACCTGGAACTATTGTTTTGAACTTTAGTCAAGAAAGTCCCTTTCAACAGGAACATTATATACCTCTTTTTCTGCCTTATCAGGTTTTTATGAGTATAGTGATCAATATCCATATGCCACCTGGCATCATCTAACTTTTATTTCTATTGTATGTGTACATAATTAATATATGTTTCTAATAAAGAGTAGATTATTCTTAGTCTTTGAACTAGATTGTGATAAACAAAAAAGTAAAATAAGCTTGAATCTTACAAAGATATTTCCAGCATTCCCCTTTGAAAGCTATTGGAAAGGTAAATACTAATAAATCTAAATCAAAATATTCTAATGTAACAGAATTACAATTATGTTTTTTATTTAAAAGATAATATGAGTTACAGAAGTCTTTTTTTTTTGGTACCGGGGATCGAACTCGGGTGCTTGTGCTTGTGCAGCAGGCGGCAAAACCACTGAGTTAAATCCCCAGCCCGATAATATGAGTTAGAACATTACTATCCCTACCTAAAATCTTCCTTAGTTAAAAAAAAGGTGAATGTGTTCAGCCTTGATTCGAATAGCAGTTTTTATTTTTACATGGTGTTGAGGATTGAACCTACACTTTCACACCTACTAGTTAAGCTCTCTACAACTGAGCCACATCCCCACCCACAAATGAAATTTTCAAACAAGAGATTTTTATTTCTCTACCAAATTTAACAGTTTAAAGTCAATAACTTGACTTTAAAGGACCAATAAGGATAGGCACAACAAGCACCCATGGGTATTATTGACATCATTTTAGTTTTATGCAACTCTTCAGAAATCAATTCAGCAATATGTATCAAATATAAAATTATATTCATTTCACTAAGGGTTATGCAAATGAGATAATCCTTCACATAGAAAAAATTAAGTGTTTATGTGATGTATAAAAAATTAGAATAAACCATCAGTCAGATAGTACTTGTCTGCATATGTTTTGAAGTATTTTTGAAGATAATATTTTAAGCTTTGACATACCATTAAATGAAACCAGAATATAAAATTTTATATGCATATGCACAGTGAATTATAGTTAGTTTTTAAAAGATATGGAAAAATGAAATGACTGAAATATTTGTAGATTCACCTGTTGATAAGAACAGAACATCTTCCTCCTAGTACTTTCTGTATTTTCCAACTCTGGTTATATATTTTTAATTGAAAATGATTAAACTATTCAAATAATATTTTAAAGAATAAAAGCCACGTAAGTGTAGTTTTTCATGTTTTGCTTGCCACTCATGTAAAAGTATGCTGGTTTAGGTCATTTAAAGAATATAACTATTTAGACCTTTTAACTAAATGATGTTCATAGCTAGAAGATGTCTTAAGGGCAACTGGGACTTTACCCTCTTATAAAGAGAAAAATAAGTCAAGAGAAGTTGAGAAACTTAAAATCTCAGTGTTCATTCTTTTCATAAATTATACCTTACCCTTAATTTAGTCATTAGATGTCATGGTTAAATAGTAGGTGAAATGAAAACTTGCCTAATTATATATTCCAGTAATTTTCATCATTTCATGAATGTGCTCCATTAGGAAAATCATTGCCAAATAATAAAAATCTACATAGTAATGTAATTCACGGGACAGAGTTATTCATTTTATTTAATCCACGTTTAATTATTTTCCCTTATATTTTTAAAAGTTCATTGAATGGAAAATTTATCCAGTTATGCACACATTCACTGAAAGAATATGTGTGTATTGAAATTGCAACTGTTTGAATTATGTTGTCAGAGTCAGTGGAACACTAATATTTAAACATAAAAGACTACTCTTGTGTTACAATTATACCACAACAGGGCAGATCTCATTTAATGAACCAGAATATTTATAAACATTTTTGTCTTGCCTTAAACTATTATAATTTCATATATTTCTGTCTTCTAGGGATTGCAAATTTATTACATGAAGATTAAGACAAGTTTTTAAAACCTTTTTTCTATTTATAGATTATATGAGGCTCTTGTAAAACTAGACATACTTGAGGAGTTTATAACTTTTAATTATCTGAATGTATAAAGAACTTCAAAGTGAATTTATGGGAGACTGAATTCACTTGTACTTGCCTTTTTATCTTTTCCCTTTTTTCCTTCCCCCCACTCCTTTCTTTTCTATTTTTTAGTACTAGGGATTGAACCCAAGGCCTACTCACTGATATACTTCCCCAGAACTTTTCTTAATTTTTTTTTTTTAAATTTTGAGACAGTGTCTTCTCTGCCTTGTTCAGGCTGGCCTAGAACTTCTGATCTTCCTGCTTCATCATCCCAGAGTGCCATAATTATAAGCATGCACCATCACATTTGTACTTGGCTTTTATAAAAAGTGTCTACTCTGTGGCAGGGATTTAGCTCAATGGTGCTGCACCTGCCTCACAAGCACAAGGTCCTGAGTTTGATCCCCAGTACCAAAACATAAAAAGTTCCTACTCTGGGCTGGGGAGGTAGCTAGATGGTAGAGTTCATGCTGACCCCCAGTTTGATCCCCACCACTACAAAACAAAATAAAATGCTCACTCTGTCAGGACAAACAGATTTATTTTTTGGAATTTTGAGTGAAATGTTTACCTATTAGTGAACCTTGAATTAGTTAAATTACTTTATGGCACTGAGCAAAGATTTGCTTCTAAGTTACTGCCATGAATTAAATTTACTGTGTTGTGTATTGCAAAAAAAAAAAAAAAAGCCTATCTAAAGTGTTGGTGCTGCTATGAAAATGCCATTGTCTGTATTTGCTTTAGGAATTTAGCTATCACCAAATTAAAACTGAAAATTCGATATTTACAATCATTACCTCATCCTATCATTTTCTGTCTTAAAGAAGCTGTTAGAAAATTTGAAAACCAAACTAATTTTTAACCAGTTTTTAAAATGTAAAAATGACTTTTTAATTATGACCTCAATGCCCAGATCTTTCAAGGAGCTTTCCATTCATTTGCTAACTTTAAGCTTGATTTCTAGCTTACCTTTTTACTTTACAACTGCTCTTTAAAGTTATCATTATAAAAATGATTGTTTATGTATGTTTCCAAGTAAGCCTATAGACTTACTAAGCATTAGGACCTTAGATTTCTTTAACATGCACTCATATCTGTGGTACAGTTATGTATATTTTATTTCAAAACATTTGTTGGCTGATAATACATTCTATGAAGCTCCAATAAGAATGCCATTGTTTTAATGCTGTTTGTTTTGTGTCCCCCCCTGCACCCCGTCCTGGCCTGGGATCTAAACAGCTCCACTCTACCTCACAGAACATCAACCTGGGACCAACTGGAAATCCTCAGTAGGTTTAATTTATCTCAAACAATCCTTTAATTAAATAATTAAATTTTAGGAAGCTCATTTTTGAGACATATGTAATCATACCAATTTAATTAGGGGCTTCAGAAATACAACCATAGTCTCAGGGAATATATAATATTGTCATGTGCTTGACTCACTGCTCCAGCTTTTCATTGCTTTAGTAGAACCCTAGTAAGGAGCTATTTTTTAAATCTACAAATAGTTAATTGGATTCTTCTATTTTGCAGTTGTCATTTTTCTGGTTTTATTTTGTGTATATATGTGAAAAATCATTTCCTATAAGGTATTCTTAAAACAAAAACATCCTTCCAAGCCTAATTGATACATTCTCCTGGTGCTCATACTCAGTGTTGTTGGTACACTATAGTTGTTAGCCAGCCTGTTCCAGAGGAGTAATGATGGATATTAACATATTAAAGGATATTAAACTTTACCTAGTCTACCCCATATTTCTATATTCATTTGAGTACATAGGAAACATTCTGAGGAATGCAGTCTGAGAAATGTTGAATGAGACCAGAGGTGGCAAATACAGACTTCATGTTGACTGTCAATCCTAGCGATTCATTGAAAGTGAACACCTAGAGAGCATCCAGTACAAAAGATTCCACTGCTGCTGCTTGACTCTGTTCAAGGAGTGCCCAGGTGGATTAGTGATGTGATGTCAGCCATGGGTTGGAGAATGAGTGGTGTTGCCATCCTTACTTTGTAATTATCCTGACAGAATTTTTTTATTAATCTCCAGTATTCTTTTGCCCCAGAACAACAAGCTTTCCTTATCTTTTTGACTTACTTGGGGAGTGTATAGACACAAGGGAGAAGTGACAGCAGGATTGGGCCTAGGACACTTCAATACTATGAAGTCAAGGAAGAACTGATAGCGGGTACTGAGAAACAATAGTAAGATAGGAGGAATGCAGGAATATGATATCCTGAAGTCAGGAAAAGAAAATATCTCAAGGTGGAGAAAATATTTATAATTGATTCTGTTAATGTTGCTGATATGGCAAGTAATACAAAGATCGAAAAACTGAGAGCTGGGAATGTAGCTCAGCAGCACTGTGCCTACCTGGTAAGCGCAAGGCCCTGAGTTCAGTTCCCCGTACCAGAAAAAAGAAAAATTGACCAATAAATTTGATAAGTTGTTGTGAATATTACAAGCAGTTTTATCGGTGTGGTTGTAAGATCTTGTTAGGAAAAAGGGTTCAGGAGAGAACTAGAGAGGAGGTCAGCAGGAAAAGTAGTGCACTTAGACCAGTCACTTGAAGGATTTTGCTGCGTGGGATGAGAGGGAATGGGATGGTAATTGGAAGAGGGTGTTTTGTTTTGGGGTTTTTTTTGGTACCAGGGACCAAACTTAGGACCTTTCACTTTCGAGGCAGGCATGGTGCCACTGAGCTAGCTCCCTGGCCCGGGTGTTTGGTTTTGAGCATTCTTTTCTGTCATTCATAACATTGAACAAAATGGTACCACAAAATACAGATTTTCAATTAGTTTTTATCTTCAACAGTTAACAGTGAGGCCTGAGCCTATTTGCTGCTTGGAGAGTTTGCCTGATTTTTTCACTGTCACATTTGCTTGCTTTTGTGTAAAAAAATATTTCAGTATCTCAGGTTTCATTAAAGAGCAAAATAGTTCAAAGAGCAGTTTTCTGAAGAAGAGAAAACATGTAAATTTAGTTAAGTATTTATCTCACTAATCTTGTTATTATTTAACCTAGTCCTGGTGTTACTCTCTTGTTTGAATTGACTATTTTTCTTTAATAATCAATTAATGAAAATTTCAGATTCATATGGAGTTATTCCCCTCTCTCTAGTACAGCTAAGGAATTCCGATTGAAGAAAACAGCTTTTCTGGCTTCTTAAGTTCAACTTTCTGCTTCCATGTACATCTACCCATATATGACCAATATTGTTTTTACCTAACATATTGAAGTAAATAAAAAGACAATCTTAGTTTTCCCTTTGGCTTTTCTTTTCCTGGCTTTCTTACATCACCATCCATGAGAATAAGCTGAGAAGTCATCTTTAATGTACAATAAGTGATTCATATTTAACACTGAGGCTTTTTTCTCCACTGGAAAGTTTTTAGCATGTTTACCAGGTGTTGCAACTAGTAATTTCATTTTCAGAAGAATTACCAGATTCTAGAGAGTCCTTGGAATGTTTCAGTAAATTATATAGTTACTCAGTTTCCTCATAACATTGGTGAGGTTATATATGTATATCTAGATATATATTTACATACGTATATCTGTATATAGAAATAAATATATGCATCCTTTGCCCCTAAAGAGGATATATTATTGAACTCCTTTTTAAGCAGAACTTAACGAGGCTTACAAAATTATAAAATGTTTTGTCGTTGTTAATTTATTTCAGCGCTAAACCAACTGACTTTGACTTTTTAAAAGTTATTGGAAAAGGCAGCTTTGGCAAGGTAAGAATGTTTCTATCTTCTCATTCAGTGGATAAATACTTAAGGAATGCAGGTCTTGTATATGTGAACCACAGGACATTTTTGGTATGAAGAGTAGGGCAAAGTGACAGAGTAGGCACCAGAGTTAAGGTGGGATGGAGAAAATCCCTGCTTAGATGGGTTGATCAAGGAGTCTTCTTTGAAAATGTACTATTAAGCTGAGGCTGGAAAGACAAAAATGAGCATCTTTGTGAATAACAGTTGATAAAGGGAAGGAGTGTGAAGACCCTGCTTATTCTCATACAGTAGCAAATCAATCATACAATTTGATACTATAGCTATACCAAGGAGGGAGAATCATTTCAGGTCAGGATTACTAAGAAAAGCATTAAAAAGGAGTTTATCTGAATCATCAAATATGTTTAAGTATTTTTTTTGCATTATTTTCAAGTCTGTAGTAAAAATGAATATTGCTATATTTTGATGTCTCAAGTTTGTTTTCTGCATTCCCTTGTGACCATACAATTAAATCCATGTGTGTTTATTCACAAAATATATATTGACAGAGCATTATGCTAATATAGCCAACAAAGTTAGAAGTATCCTACTTTCAACATACTTGTAGTCTACTGCAATTCTAGAGATAATCTGACATTAAAAACAGGACCATTATTAACTGGGCATGGTGGCACATGCCTGTAATCCCAGCTACTTGGAAGGTTTAGGCAGAGAATGTTGAGTTCAAGGCCAGTCTGAGCAACATGGAAAAATCTCATTGCAAAAACAGTAACAACGAAAAACAAAGTCTTTTGGAAATTTCATGCTTAGATCCAGAATCCACCAAGATTTCATTCTTACATATAATATGAGGTGTAGGGACACAGTTGATTTTTTATATATGGATATCCAGATGATCTTACAGAATTTCTAAAAAGACTATTCTTTCCCCATTGATTTGAAGGGCCACCTTCATCATACATCTAGCGTTTATATATGAGCAGATTTGTTTTTATGTTCAAATGTTTGTCTTTTTGTTTCTAGATTTTATATTTTGTACCATTGGTCTATTTGTTTATCTTAACACCAGTGCCACATTGGCTTGATAACTAAGTCCTTTGCTCGTTTTTCTTCAGCAGACTATTCTTTACCCTTTGCTTACCTATACACATTTTAGAATGTCAGTTTTTGCATAAATTTATTTGGAATTTGATTGTGATTGCATTGAATCTATAGATAAATTTGAGAAGAATTAAAATCTTTATAATATTGAATCTTCCAGCTCATGGTGTAGCTTTTGGTTAATTTAGCTTATTTTAAATTTTTTCACTAATACTTTATAGTGTTCTGTGTAGAATTTGTACACATCTTTAATTAGTTTTATTCCTAGTTGTTTCTTTTTAGTGCTGTTTGAAAACCAGTGTTAATTATTGAAGCTGAATGTATGCATTATCTGTGACACATTGGTTCTACTCCTAGGTGGCTATCCAACAGAAATGCAGTTGCACTAGAAAAGGCATATGTAGGCATGCTCATAGCATCATTATTTATAAACAGTCTAAATATATAACAATGAAAGAGTGTATGTATTGTGATGGAATATTCTGCCCAACAATGAAAATGTGAAAATTATGCTACACGCCATAACTTGAATGAATATTACATAACTCAGAAAAGGGACACCTTTATGTGACTCTAATTTAAAAGGCAGAACTGCATGTTGATGTAGCAGTACTTACCTTTGAGGAGGAGTTGGATGAGTCACAACTGGGATGAGGCAGAAGGGAGGCTTCAGGCTACTGGGACACTTTATTTCACCTGGATAGTGTTGACATAGGTGTGTTCACTTTGCAGTAATTTATCAAGTTAGAATGTTTTGTCTTTCTATATATTTGCTATATTTAATAAAAACTAAGGCTTGGAAAATGGTTAGAAACCAACATAGTTCAATAAAACAAAGAAAAGCAGAGTACAGAAGAAAAGAAGTGAACAAATTCCAATGCAAAAATATATAATAAATGCCATAAATAATGGAAATCTAGCATTTATTCTAAACTAACTCCAGTTTGTAGTCTGGGTTCCACTTTCCATGTGCCTGTTTACTTTTGAACCTTATATCCACCAAATCTAACAATCTACTGGAAGAAAAAAAAACCCTACTTGAAGGGAATTAGTAGCTTCTAATTTCCACATTCTTTGAATTATTTTCTCGAAATGTACTTGAAGATGAACCAAAGTATTGGAGAAGGAAAGGTCAGGCAGGTGGGCATTGTCAAGAAAAAGGAAAAATTTAAGAAGAAATGTTACTTGAGAGAAGACATTTTTATCCTAAAGATTTTTTATTCCATCTTTATGAGTAATAAAAATATTTTATTAACAGACTTTATTTTTAGAACAGTTTTAGATTTATAGAACAATTGAACAGAAAGTACAGAGAATTCCCAGTACCCCTTAACACAGTTTGCCCTCTTATTAACACCACACATTAGTATGGTATCTTTGTTATAGTAAATCAATACTGATACATTATTAGTAGCAGGAGTTCATTATTTATTCACATTTCCTTAGTTTTTACTTAATATCCTTTTTTCTGTTTCAGAATCCCATCCAGGAGACCACATTACATTTGGTTGTCATGTCTCCTTAGGCTTCTCTTGGCAGCAGTAGTTTCTCAAATTTCTTATTTTAGATGACCTTGACAATTTTGAGGAGTACTGGTCAAATATATTGTAGGATGCTCCTCTGTTCTTTGATTTTGTGTGTGTGTGTGTGTGTGTGTGTGCGCGCGTGCGTGCCAAGAAAGACCACAGAAGGGCTGTAAATAAGTCCTAGCATTGTCACTAGTTGCTGTGTCAGATAATTTCAAAAAACTTTGGAATATGTCATTTAATAGTTACACTACTCGCAATTTAATTTGATGGTGGTCTTGAATTCCCTATAGTTAGAGTCATATGTCACTTAACAATGGAAACATGTTCTGAGAAGTGTGTTCTTAGCTGATTTCATTGTTGTCCAAACATCACATATGTACTCACACAAACCTAGATGATACAGCTACTACAATATAACCTACTATATACACCTAAGCTGTGTGGTGTATACCAGTAGCGGTGAACCTGTGGCACTTGTGGCACAGCAGGTACACAGAGCCCCCTCCCTTTCAGCACATGAGCAATGTCCTCCCAGCCAAGGTTTGAAAAATTATCAGCATGCAGACAACAGCAAAGATCACATTAATTGTGCAAAAGCGCACAAAATGCACACTTTTACCTTCAAATAAAAAGCTGTTTGTATGATTGAAAGCTCTGTTATTGTGTGTTTTGTTTAAGACAAAAGATGTTAATGTATGAGTTGTTTTTCCTAAACTAATACTTCACCATTCAGGTTTAATTGCAGTGTTGGCACTTTGCGAAAAGTAAGTGGATTTTGGTTGCGGTTTGAACACTCTGTGTCCATCGTTGACCAAAATGTGCAGCACATGTTTGTATTTGTAAAACCTTGAGTGTGTCTCCCTTTTTCTTGGGTGAGATCCTCTAGGTTTCTTCACATTCCTAAGAGTGTCTGCATGCAACCTAGCTGATTACAGAAACTCAGCTATAATGGTACTCTTCCTCTGAACTCTTCTAAATTATAAAGTCTATAAGAAAAGCCTAAATATAAAACAGCAATGCACTTTGATCACCTAAACATCGTTTCCTTCTTTTTTATATAGCCATGAAGTTTATAGCCTCAGTATTTTCTAAGGACACAAGGCTGGAGCACATGTGCATACACATGCACGTACACACACAAACACAAAGACATCTCAAGCAGGTTAGATTTTGCCACTTAAAAATGGTTTTAAAAATCTCATCAATGGGGATTTAGCCCAGTGGTTCCACCGCCTGCCTCAAAAGCGCAAGGTCCCAAGTTTGATCCCCAGTACCAAAAATATATATAAAAATAAATAAATAAACAAATAAAGAAATAAATAAAATAAAAATAAAGGGCCAGGGATTTAGCTCAGTGTTTCCGCTGCCTGCCTCGCAAGTGCAAGGTCCCGAGTTTGATCCCCAGTGCCAAAAAAAAAAAAAATTCCATCAACACAGTAAGTGACAGAAATAGTGTCTGGCTATTCAAATAATCTTTTTTTTATTAAAATGCCTAAGGAAAATGGAATTATAGAAATAAATTCAATAGTTCTCAGTGTTCAAAACAAAAGCGTATTATCCAGGTCCTTTGGGACTTTTCACAAAATTTAAGAGCTATTGTTTTATTGACAAGTGAATTATCCCTATGAAAATACTGAATTTTTAATAATTTGTACAATCCTTTCAACAGGTTCTTCTTGCAAAACGAAAACTGGATGGAAAATTTTATGCTGTCAAAGTGTTACAGAAAAAAGTAGTTCTCAACAGGAAAGAGGTAAAATAAAGTTATTGTTCCTCCTGAGCCCATTTTCTTAATTAACAGAATTGTTTTCTAATGTTTAATACAAGTTGATCCTTTGCCTTTTTTTCCAGCAAAAACATATTATGGCTGAACGTAATGTTCTCTTGAAAAATGTGAAACACCCATTTTTGGTTGGATTACATTATTCTTTCCAAACAAGTGAAAAACTTTATTTTGTTCTGGATTTTATTAATGGAGGGGAGGTGAGTTTTATAATTAGTTTTCTAATATTGATAATTGTTAGAAAATAGCATGAAATCAAAAAGGTTTTCTTACAAGTTTTTAAATGACAGTGCATTGTCAATAGCTATTTGTGTATTTGAAACAATATTTAAGCAACTGGCTACAATGCAAGATGTGGAGAAGTATAATATGAAAGCTGTCAAACGTATTGCTGGGAAGATTTGTAAAAGAAACTCAGTAAAAAGCCACAGATTTCATTGATAGATTAGATTTGTTACAAAGCTTTATAGCAAGAATGACATACTGAAATATTAGAATAAAACATGGTTTATAATTTAGATGATTGTTTCAACAGTTACATATAAAGATTCAGCCTGTTATTTCTCAAATGTACAAAATGTTAATCAGTGAAATAATCTTCTAATAAAGAATCCTGTGGTGAAACTGGTTGGGAAATGCTTCCTTGCTTTATCACCATCTTGGTAATTCATGGTCTGTTTTAGCATGTTCAAGACTTTGAGATCAGCCTTAAACAAAGGATTTCTTAAAATAAAAATACTGTTTTTACGGCCAGGGATTTAGCTCAGTGGTTTTGCCGCCTGCTGCACAACTGCAAGGACCCGAGTTCGATCCCCGGTACCAAAAAAAAAAAAAAAAAATACTGTTTTTATCTCATAGTCTCCGTTTTGTTTGAACTTAATCTACTAATATTCCTCAAAACTCTGATATAGAAGGATATTAAAATACAGTTGAGGAAATGCAGCTAAGATAATTATAATAACAGTTAAGATGATATTAGATATTTTCCCAGACTATGGGTGTTCATGTTCTTTTTTCTTCACAACAATCTTACAGAAGACTAAAAAATTCTAATAACAGAGAATCCAAGTAGCTTGTGGAAGTCATGTACTGCAGTTAGTAATTATTAGAGACAGGAATTTAACTTGGGCATCAGACAGTCTGATTCCAGTATAGGGAGTTGACCTCTCCCATTTATCTACTTTTCAACTCTCACATCTTTCTAATTTGTTTGATCCTTGACTGTGAATGTCCAAAAATTATTTTAATATTATAAATATTGTCATTCCTTTACAAAGGAATTTTCTGTCTAAATATTACAAATATTGTCATTCCTTTACAAAGGAATTTTCTTATAATCTCAGAGCAGAGAAAAGAAAATTGTCTAAGAGATTGGCTAAGAGAATGAAGTATCATGGAATGCAGTGGTGGGTATAGGAGTTGAATGGGGCTGTAGGTAAACAAGGAATAAAGATGAGGGGAAAGGGTAGAACCGGGATGAGTATGGCTTCATCTTGTGTTCCCTCTTATTAGCCATTGTTTTTCCCTTAATGTTCATACTTATATTTTAATTTTGACAAGATACTTTTTATGTACACTACTTCTCTTTTTCTAGAGGAGAATATCAACAAATAAGTTTTATGATATGAAACAGATAATTGAGCCTTTTGAAGCTTTAGTTTCCTCTTTTATTTCTGACCTCAAAATTATTGTCTAGATTAAATAACACAGCATGTAATGTCCTTAGCATAATCCCTTTTTATTTACTAAACAATCAGTATTGGCTATTATTAGTGACATAGTCAGATTTTTCATTTTAAGTTTTTTAGGATTAATATATTAGCAAAATGTGATTGGAAGATCAATAAATAGAATATTATAGTAGTACAGGGTACAACTAGTAAAAGCAATGGTAGGGGTAAGGGGGAGAGATATTCTAGAAATACTTCAAAGATAAAATAAGAATTTATTTATTTGTTTGATTCAGGGCCTAAAGAATAATGTAGCAGTTCTGGTGAATCCCAGGCCACCCCCATTTATCTGTCAGGATATATTATAACTGATCTTTACCACAGCCTTTCAGAAAAGGTTAAGATTTTTTAAAACAGTCTTTGATAATCAAAGAAGTTAAATGAATTATACAAAAAAGAGATGAGCCAAAATTTGAACCCAAGTCTGATTAGCTCTGGATCCTTTTTGTGTACAGTACCTTTTCCCACTTTTGTGGCTTAAGAGGGCTGGAGAGAATACAATAGCGGTAATAAGCTGTAAGAGAAGACAAAGGTTTTTGCTCTGTTTCAGACAAGTTAAATTTGGTGAATTATAAAATACTTCAGAACAACATCAGGCAATAAATAGGTCTTTGCAGTAGGAGCTCCAAGTAGAGATGTGGGCTGGGGATGTCTTTGTGGAAGACATCAACAATACAATTGGTGGTTAAATCATTGGAATGGATAGGTTACCTGGGAAGGATATTTGGAGAAAGAATAACAGTGTGCCAAGGGTAGAAACTCTCATCCCTTTGGTGTCTAGAGCCAGAAAGGATCACAGATGGAATTCTCCCAGACAGGAGCAGGCCCAAGGAGACATTATTGTCATAGAGCCCACAGACCCAGTGCAAACTTCCCTAAGGCAAGGAACACAATGGCCAAAGGACTGGTTTTATGAAATAAATTAAGAATTAGAAAGTATGAGAAATTGAGAGTCCTGCTGCTGTTCATCCCAGTCAGTTGCTGCCACATTGAATTTAGGCCTAATGGTGCACTGTCCCTTCCTTTTTTTTTTTTCCTCTGTAAGAAACCAAAAGTATCATTTTTTTTGTCTCCCCACTCCCCAAATCCCATAGTATCCAGGCATGGTGGTACATGCCCATAATCTCAGCACTTGAGGCCGAGGCAGCAAGTTTGAGACCAACATGGGCAACTTAGCAAGACCCTGTCTCCAAACAAAGAAAAAAAAAAGATGTAGGGATATAGTTCAGTGCAAAGGGCTTGGTTTTAAATCTCCAATACAAAAAACAGATTTTTTTCCAATAGTTAAACATTAATTCAGATTTTTTAAAAACAGTTTTTATCAGACCTGGAGAGGTAGCCAATGGAAGGATACTTGCATCCATAAAGCCCTTGGTTCAATCCCCCGTACTGACAAAAAATTTATCTCAAGTATATTATATCTATAGGTTATATTTGTTCTGTTAGCCACTAGTATTTGTTCGTTAGTTTGTTTTTTAATGAAAAAGTAGTCCATAAAGTCCCAGTAAGATAATCACATGGCAAAGACCACTAGTCTAGAGTGGTTATTTGGAATGGTGAGGATACTGACACACTGAGGATTGAGGAGTACATTGGAGAAAAGTGAAATTAGTAAGGATAAAAAAAATATGTGTTAGAGAGTGATATGGTTATTAGATAAGGGAGGGTCACAGCTCTGTGCTTTGATACGTGTTTATCTCATGTTCAAAATGTCAGAAATAATTTCTACCTTTGTATTTATAGAACACGTTTGTTTAACACTCTATGTGAACGCTCCTAACATCCCCACTCCCCAAATTTTGTAGCTGTTTTTTCACTTACAAAGAGAACGGTCCTTTCCTGAACACAGAGCGAGATTTTATGCTGCTGAAATTGCCAGTGCATTGGGTTACTTGCACTCCATCAAAATAGTGTACAGGTAAATTACTTAAATATTATATGTAAGAATATTTTTTAATATTTAATTTCAGGTAATACTCAGGGTTTTTTTTTTCTTTTCTTTTAATTTGATAGAGACTTGAAACCAGAAAATATTCTTTTGGATTCAATGGTAAGTATTGTCTTTTAAAAATCAGGCCAGGGATTTAGCTCAGTGGTTTCACCACCTGTTGCGCAAGCGCAAGGACCCGAGTTCGATCTCCGGTACCAAAAAAAAAAAAAAAAAAATCTGCTAGTTCTGTTTTTTGTTCTAAGTGGGGGAAAAAGTCTTAAGCTTCCATACTGCATGACTGCACTTATAAAACATTTTCAAAATTACAAAACTACAGACAGAGAACAGATTAATGATTGCAAGAGAACAGGGTCAAACAGAGGTAGCACAAGGAGTTCCTTTGTTGATGAAATAGCTCTTATTTGATGGTGGGTGTTACATGAATCTCTACATGTATATTGAATAGAACTACATCACATATACACAGCATGCATGTTTAAATGGTAAAACTGAGTAAGGTTAGTAGTCTGGTTAACATTGTACCAACGTCAGTTTCCTTTTCAATACTATACTGCATTGATGCAAGATGTCAGCCTTGGGGAAGTGGGTGAGGGCAAGTGGGACTTTATGTACTACTTTTGCAATTTCCTGTGTGTGTATAATTATTTCAAAATAAAAGATTTTTAAGATTGTCAGTTTGTATTCATGTATTGTTTTATCTTACTGTTCTGTATTTGTCAGGGACATGTTGTCTTAACGGATTTTGGGCTTTGTAAAGAAGGAATTTCTATCTCTGATACTACTACAACGTTTTGTGGGACACCAGAGGTAAGAAATATGTCTTGTCATTAATAGAAAAATTTCTAAATGTAAATATGAATCATACAACCCATATACAAAATTAAAATAAGGAAAGTAGAATAAAAACTGTCATTTCAGCTTTCAGCCAGCTGTACTTCTAGACAGTTAAGTTTAGTGATAGTTGGTATTTTTCACTGGTATTTTTCACCAGTTGTACTTCTAGACAGTTAAGCTTAGTGATAGTTGGTATTTTTCACTGAGATATTTTTCCCTGAGTGAGTTAAACCACAGGACTCTTTTGAATAGTCCAAAAGAGGTAAGTTATGTTTATTTGTTTTTAATATTGAAAGTTTACCTTAGGTTTAGCGTTTGATTGTATTTCTAATCTATTTTTAAAAAATCACAGATCAGTAAAAATGTCAAAGGGGGAGGTATGATTATGGTGAAGGTTGCACAATACTGTAAATATGTTAATAACCATTGAATCATACACTTTAAAAAGGGCTGAATTGTAGGGTGTGTGGTGGGGGGAGTATTAGGGATTGAACCGGGCTAGGCAACTGCTCTGTCACTGAGCTGCATCTCCAGGCTCCCCAGGCTTTTGAGTTTTTTTTTTTAGTTCTGAGGCAGGGTCTCACTAGAGGCCCAGGCTGGCCTCAAAGTTGTGATCCTCCCACTTCAGCCTCCGGGCTAGCTGGGATTACAGGCATGTGCCACACATCTGGCATGACGGTCTTAATGTAGCTGTGGTTTGGTTTGATTTGCATAAACTAAAGCAAATGGGGCAGAACATTAACATTGCCTAAATCTGTGTGGCAGTTTTACTGGTTTCTATTATGCTTTTTTATATGGTTGGAATATTTTGTATTTAAATATTTAACAGAAGAAAATAAAGTAGTTGATAGGAAAAAGTCATAAATCAATTTATTAATCAGTGTATCATTCTCAAGTCATCTAGGAAAAATATTTTTAAATTTGTGACATTAATAATTCTTATAACTTATTTAAAAGGCTTATCTTCACTTAGTACATACACACATACAAGTTTAGGTTGTTTCATACTACCCTAATGTTATTGTAATTATACAATTATCTTAGGTGCCATGTAATGTTTTCATTATTGTGGAGCATTTGCAAATACAGTGTTGAAAATATAACTTCGATTTGATCCCCAGCACCACAGAAGAAAGAAAAAGAAGAGAAAATATATCATAAAATGGTTTACATAAACCTTCTAATTAAGATCAGACAAAAGTATCTATTAGTAATAATTATCTTGAAATATAATTTTTTCATTTCTTGCTCGCTTTGTAATCCTAGTTCTTATATATACTTGTAACCTTTCTGTTTTGGTTTATGGGGAGAAGAAATTGTGTGTGTGTGTGTGTGTGTGTGTGTGTGTGAATGTACAGTGTTTTCATAGTTAACAAAATCTTTAAGTCCTGTAGGTTTTTTTATTAATTATATTGGTACATTTTAGGTATACAGTGTAATGACATTCATCATTGGTGATTTGTACCTTTACATAATATATCTTCTTATTTTCCTCATTCCCCTGCCCTCCCTTCAAGCCCTCCACCCTTCCCTACCTACAAAGACTTTGTTTCCATTTTTTCTTTTTCTCATATTAATTCCATTCCCCTCTTTCCTTTCCCCTACCTCTCCCATTCCCCTACCTCTCCCATTTCCCCTTCACCTTTGCACCTTTTCTTCCTATTTCACATTATCTATTAAGTCCTGTAGTTTTTAGAAAAGATATACAAGGTATTTGGTCATTTAAAATTTAAATGATATGAAGATATTGTATATTTTTGAATCTAAAATTTAAATTCATCTATGTATGAAATTGTGTTGATTTTTTTAGCCACCTAACTTACATGTTTTTAACTAAGTTTGAGGTTATATCTGAAATAGGAATGCAATTCGGGCTTTTTCTTTCACTGAAAAGAAAAAAAAAAAGGATTATAAATTACCACATTAAAAATTCTTCCTTAAACTGGGCCTGGGATCATGCATCTATATTTCCAGCTCCCTAGGAGGCTGAGGAAGGAGAATCACTTGAGCCCAGGAATTTCAGGACAAGGCCCCATTTCAAAAAAAAAAAAAGAAGGACTGGGGATTTGGCTCAGTGGTGCCGCTGCCTGGCTCGCAACTGACTGCAAGGTCCCGAGTTCAATCTCCAGTACCAAAAAAAAAAGAAAAAGAAAAAAATTGTTTTTTCTAGAAAAAAATATTATAAATTATGATCAGCTGAACTTCTAAAAATAAGTTGCTCTGACAAAAGACTGTGTCTCCAAATGCCTATTTTAAGTACTCAGTATTATAGATCCTGCCTTTGCTGTCTTCTGTGTGTTTTAATTGAGTCAGTTTCTGCAGGGAGGTGCTTGAGTGTGTTTTGGAAAGTATTCCAGTTGGCACTGCCTAAAAACCACTGTTACAGAATGAGAACACAACCCATTAAAAATCTAGAATTTTAAAAATTTGTTTTAAGTGTTATAGATTGAACATGATAAGCAAGTACTTTGCCAATGAGCTACACTCCCACCCATGATAATGTTTTTAATATGATGATGTCACTGGATAGGGTCTAGGAGGCTCCTCTAAAGAGGGAGTGAGGGCCTCAAGTCTTCTCTAGATGAGTCTGTCAACTCTTGTCACAGAAAAGCATTTCAGGATGTGTTAGTGTGTCATAAGCAGAGTTAGAAAGTAAGAGAAAATAGTGAAGGGACTTAAGCTTGAGGAACTAAAGGGGACACAGCTCTGATAAAGAGGACTAGACTGGCCTGTTCACAGAATATCAGACCAGCTTTTATGGATTTGCTAGGGAGGGCTCATCTGGTTGATTATTATCTCAGTTCTGGTTTGCAGGATGGCACTGGGAAAAGTCCTTATTGCTTAAGGGGGTAGTTCATTGTCCTTAAGATGATTATTTCTGCTTGAGCTAGTTTCAGTTTTGTGGAAACGCTGCTGGAATCCAAATTACTGTAGGTTTAAAGCAATGATTACAGACCTCTGGGCACTCGTTGGTAGTTGAGTGTCCCTGTAAATCTCTTATCTTGGTGTTCTCCATCTTAGAGAGGGATAAGATGGGTTATGTAAATTTGGAGCTGATCAACTTTGCCAGCTCTTAGGCATTCACTAAATGATTAAGATGTCTATATGCAGAGCTGGGCAAGGATCTAACCCAGTTTTAAGGTAATAAATGAAGGTCAGGCATTTTTTTGGTTTTTAGTTACCTATTGGGCATCTATAAGCCACAATTAATATTTACTAATTTTTAGCAAAATGCTTTTATGTCCCTAACTGCCTCAAAAGAAAACAAAAATCATGCTTTTAATGAATAATAGGTCCTCTGTCCCTATTGTGGTCTCTGACTGTGTCAGTGACACAGAAAATTTGTTAAATTTCTCAATTATTCCTGAATTTTACCCTGAGTTTTACTGTTGCTGTGTTTCATTCTTTTCTACAGTATCTTGCACCTGAAGTAATAAGGAAACAGCCCTATGACAACACTGTGGATTGGTGGTGCCTTGGTGCTGTTTTGTATGAAATGCTGTATGGATTGGTATGAATTTGTATTCCTTATTACTCCAATACATTATCATTGATTTGGCACACAGTCTTTTTTCTCACTCTTTAAGATCTCACAGATACTTAGATAACACTAACAGCAGTAATCATTTGGTTAAATTAATCCAGAACCACATTAGAAATATGTCTAAGAAGAAAAACTTCATTTTGTTACTAGTTTTTTAAAGTAGTACAATTAGTTTCTCTCGTACTGATAACTACCATTAGGTATTTTCATTCCTCTGGCATTTTTAGAAATACAGTAGATGCCTAGTTATAGCACTAAAATTATCTGTTTTCAGTTTATTGCAAACAACCTCTACCTAACTTCAAAAAGATGGCAAGAAAAAAGATTTTTGCATTTATCGATATATTAATTACATTTCAAAAGATAATGTTCTTTGATTTTTTACCTTTTGTTTTTGTAGGATTTAATACACGATTGCTTAGCACTTTTTTATCACTGGAGATCTCCTATTTCTTTCCCTGAAAACATCATGTCTTAATGATTTCATTGAAAAAAAAAAAAAAAGGATGTTCACTGTGCAATGGATTTGCCCAATTTTTATTAAGTAAAAACACATAAGGCCAGCCGGAACTTCTGGTTAAAATGAGGAACATTGTGTTACTCTATTGAGATGGTATCACTCCACCCAAAGCAAACATTTTTGGCTTATTACTTAGTTTACTATCTTTATAAAATAAATCCTGTTTTTCTCTAGGCTTTTTGAAATATTTGAAATTATTTCTTAGACTCCATTTGTGATTTCATAAGTATCCAGAAGCTGTAATCTGTCGTTGCTGCCAACACTGATACTAAATGCTACTACCAGTTGAGACCTGAGCTAGTTATCTGTTTGTTTTTCCTACAAACTGTGGAGCTCTCAGTGAAGTTCAGCACATGAGATCCATTTTAGAGCATTTATTTCATATCACTAATTTTTATGATAGATACCTATGAAAGCGAACACAATCTCTTAACTATGATCAGCTTGTAAAAGGAGCTACTTTTCTATTAATAGTAGTGATTTAGAACACTGGATAACAATTTTGTATCTTCCTTTTTTTCAGGCACGGAATATCATTTGCTATTTCAGAATTCTTTGTATTTCTTTAGAAGATTTTGAAAATATAAAAGAAAGTTATATTTTTAAAAGTAAAGCTTTTTCTTATGAAAAAGAAAAGTGACAAGCCCATAAAATTCCCTTACCAGTAAAAATTATTTTTACTTTAAAACTTTTAACTAATAATTAACTGGCTAATGCTTATGTTGAAGCTACTCACCAGGTGTTTAGGGTTTGACAGTAGCATTTTTAGTTATTCAAAGTACTCTCAATGCTTTTACTGACACAAGTACTTAGGAAGGAGTATTGTCTTTAAGTCCCTTGTCTTTTCTAGATACTTTTGCGTTAATGCATTTATTCCCAAATCTCAAAAAGTTATTTAATGTTTCATTTGTCTTGAAAATCTGTTTGCGGTGATTCTGTCATACCTATGATAAGGTTGGTGGTTGTTTTCTCTCAAACATAGTTTTACAAGTTGTTTGTAGTTTAACACCTGTTTACAAAGTGCTGTTCAATAAACCTTAATTCACTCAGTGAACACTTAGTAAGCTCTATTGTGTGCCAGGTTTTAGAATCCCTCTGCATCATGAGGCCACGCTGCAGGTGTTTGCACATCCCAAGAGGGCTATCCACTTCTGCAGCTATTCAGACCCAAATATTGCCTGCAAATCAAAGCCAAATCTTTCTGTTCTAAAACCATTTTGGCATAATTCACTTACTACTGAGTTTCTTTATTTTGCTTTTCTCTTTCTCAGCCACCTTTTTACTGCCGAGATGTTGCTGAAATGTATGATAATATTCTTCACAAGCCTCTAAATTTGAGGCCAGGAGTGAGCCTCACAGCCTGGTCCATTCTGGAAGAACTCTTAGAAAAAGACAGGCAAAATCGACTTGGTGCCAAAGAAGATTTTGTATGTAACATGTTTCCCAGTTCCAGCTTTATTTAAACTTATTTAAAATTTGGAGATAAATCCTTATTGTATATGGTATTTATTGGAATGAATATAGCTATTAAAGAATACCACAGTTGAAAAACACATACTTTTCACCACAATTTTCACTAGTATTCATATAAAACTATGCAGTATTTAAAGCATTTTAACTTATATTTTTTCATTTGATGTTCATAATTTGAACTTCTACTCTGTACCCCACATCTAGCTTTCATTTTATTTGATTTTCATTTATAACAATTTCCTCTCCCTTCTCTTTACAAAAAATGTTGTGTAGTATATATTACCTAAATTTTTTGTCAATTTAATTTTTATTGCTAAATAATAACAGCATTTCTGTGAACTTTTAACACAGAGACTAACCAACTAGCATGGTTTTTGTTAGGGTTTAGGATTATATAAACTTTTAAAATATTTTCTTTAATAAAAATTTTTTAAATGCCTCTTGTCTCTTTGAAGTATTGCCTTTTGCCTCAAACTAATATTAAATCACTGTTCTTGTTTTTGCTTTTGCTTTTGAGAATTTGATAGCACCTCCTTGAAATAATTATGGAATCTGATTTTTTTTGTTGTTGTTTCAAATCAGGGTAATGTTTGCTACTATAATTACCAGTATTATTCTGCCACTGTTTTCCTATTCCATTCACTCTTCAGTTAAGCAACTAACTCTGCCAGCAGTTTCCTAGTCAGGGTGCTAATATTTTATACCTCCTTGTCCTTTGGTTCTTTTATTGAATTCACTGTCAGAAATTGAATAAGCTCAATTGTCATATCCTGGGCTACTGACAGTGCTGAAGAAAGTAACATCTGGGGATAGCGGAAGCATCATAACGTCATAGTCATGAGCCTGTTTGTGTTTTTCCATTCAGCTTATTCTGCTACTCTCTATGTTAACTATTTCAAACCTTCTCTCCAGACTTTCAAATTCCTCTTGGGTTTTGCCTTTTACTTTTTTAAAATAGGATTTAGTTAATACACTGGTGCTCAACTTTTTCTATCGCTGCAGATCACCCTATGTTCCCTTTCCTGAAAACACTATGTCTCAAAAGATTCATTTTAAAAAAGGGTGATGTTGGGCTGGGGATTTAGCTCAGTGGTTCCGGTGCCAGCCTCACAAGTGTACGGTCCCAAGTTCAATCCCTGGTACCAAAAAAAAAAAGGGTGATGTTTACTATTTTATGTAAATTATTTCTCCAGCTTTTACTAGTTAAAGATCCATAAGGCCGGCCAGAGCCTCTGATTAACTTTAGGAAAATTGTATTAATTACTACATTAATTAATACTGTTCCAACTCAAAGCAAACAACTTACTTAGCATTTCAGTTAGTTTACACACCTATAGAATTAATGTTAGCTGGAGGTATAGGTCATTGGTAGAGCACTTGCCATAGCATGTCCAAAGCCCTGGGTTCAATCACCAGCACCACAACAACAAAAAAGTAAATACATGTCATTCTTTAGGTTTTTTGAAATATTTTTAATAACCCTCCTCCCATCTCTTGTAGTAGATAATCATGCCTTCTTTTTTTATAGGGTAAAGAACATTCAGAGCAGAACTGACCCAGCTTCCTGCTGTCAGTCTTCCAGATTTTACATTTACCTGTACCTGTACCTTTCTTCCTGTTATAGTGGGAAAAGTCCATTTTCACCTAGCATTGGATCCCTGACACCTTCCATGAATACTGTACATGCCCTTTTCTGTATAAGTAGCCATTTCTTTTTGTTCTGGTTTCTTCCAGTTGATAATTAAACCTTGCAAGGCATGGTGGTGCGCACTTGTAATCCCAGCATCCTGGGATACTGAGACAGGAGGATCACATGTTTGAGCCTAGCCTGGGCAAACAGGTGCCCAAGTTAAGTTACTTAACAAAACTCTGTTTCAAAATAAGAAAAGAAAGGTCTGGGTACATAGCTCAGTGACCCTCAGTTGAACCTTCACTAATGCCACAAATAAGTACATAAATAAACATTGTCAAGTATCCTGCTTTTTAAACTAAAAACTTTCAACCCTACTGTTCTGTTAGATACCTTCTTCCCTTCTCTACCAAACGTGTTGAAAGTTTTCCGTATTCACTCTACCCTTCCCAGCCTCTTTTCAGTTTATGACACAATAGCTGGTTGAATGCTAAATCATTTCATTTGCTCTCAAAGCCATGTTTTAACTCACAATATTCTCCAGTTCCCTAGGTTCCAACTAAAGCATACACTCATCGTTTTTTTCTCAATTTTTATTTTTTTCTGTTTTTGTTTTTGAGACAAGGTCTTGCTATGCAATTCAGGCTTCTGCCTCAGCCTCCCAAGTGCTGGGACTACAAGCATGCATCACCACACATGGCCTCAATTTTGATTTTTTTTATTAGTATATGTTTATAATACATAATATTACATTCCTCATGGGGTGTTAATACATAGACATATTAAAACCTTAATTATTTTTTATTCCCTTCCTGTACCCTCCATCTTCATAACCCCTTCCCTTTTGCAAAATATCTATCTTCCTGTTTCCTGTTATCTATTATTTTGTTCTTTGTTTATATTTGGGGTTTCTCATATAAAATAAACTGTGATTTTAAGCTTGTCTGATTTATTTCACTTAACATTAAGGTCTCAGGGTACATCCATTTTCCTATAAATGACTGAAGTTTATCCTTCTTTGTAGCAGAGTAATTGTCTTTGAAAGGTTTGCACTATTGATAGTCTTTAACCATTTTGCCACATGAATGACGTACACATATACCTAAAAGAATTATTGAGAGGCATAATGACAATTATTTGGGCTCATAAAATTTGGTGAGTGATATATTCTTCCTCATTAATAAAAATTTTTGTTCTTAATATTGTAGCTTGAAATTCAGAATCATCCTTTTTTTGAATCACTCAGCTGGACTGACCTTGTACAGAAGAGGATTCCACCACCCTTTAATCCTAATGTGGTAAGTGTATGTGTACCCAAATCTTTTTTTTTTTGGTACTGGGCCTCGAACTCAGGTCCTTGCGCTTGCGCAGCAGGCGGTGAAACCACTGAGCTAAATCCCCGGCCCAATGTATACCGAAATCTTACTAAAAATAATGAGACAGAACTGTAGCTCATTATACTTTTGGGAAATAGATCTCAAAATCTAACCTGAATGAAATGCCATCATTATGTATTTGAAATATGTCACTCAGGGTGACATATATACCTCAGGATGATATAAGAACTTCAAGATGACCAATAAGATTACAATTAAGTTAGGTTGATGAAAATATCTTCTAGCACAGTAATTGTGAAATTTTTGTTTTGGAGCATGCATAAGAAAGGGATGAGCTCAGTAAGTAAAAAAGGTACAAATTATTGTTATTTTTATACATACAAAATCAATATTTTACACAACACTTTTTTCTAGATTAATGGAAAACCAAGTACAAGCAAACTTTTTTTTTCTTTTAAATTCCTTTATTGGTACATTTTAGGTATCCGATACATTTATATTTATCATTGGGTGCTTGTACCTGTACATGATGAATCTTGGTTCTTGTTTTTTTCTCCATTACCTGTGCTCCCTTCACCCCCTCCACCCTTCCCTATTTATATAGATTTCGTTTCCATTTTTTTTCTTGTCTCATAATTTTTCCTTTCCCTTCTTTCCTTTCCCTTTCCCCTCCTACCACCCCTACACCTTTGGACCTTTTAATATTTCATATTATCAGTTACTCATTTTAATCATTTTAATCCTTATTTACACT